TATGATTTGGTTTTATTAGCTAACGACAATCACAAACAATTAATTGTAGGAAGCAAGGATACTCGTAGATTTTCGCGATTTTCCTTATCTAGGCTTAGGACTAGCAGAAAAGTTATGTTTACGGTTAAGAGTAAAACTTTTGCGGCGCATTTAAAAATCGGCTTTTATACTTACAATGATTTCTTTTTACATATTTTTTTTTGTTTTTCTGTTTGTTTTTATTATTTTTCAAACCATTTACAAAATTACTAAAACTACAAACCGAATTACTTCAGGTTAGCGTCCAAAAATGTAAGTTGCTCGACTTTTGATGTTTTTAGACGACATATCTTTTCAGTGATAAATAATCCCGCCTCAGAGAAGAGCAATAGATTTCCGTAAACAGCGAATCGAAATCGGACTTCCGAGCACGAAATCTGACTTCCGAAAACGAAAGCACGAATTTCGAATCCGATTTACATTTGGATACTTGTGGTATTAGATCGCTAGCGATTTGGTTCGGTTAGATTTCTGAAATCGGATTTTCTTGCTGAGAAATCGTTCGGTATCGATTTGTGTTTGAAATCGGATTTTGGATTCGTTTTGATATATCGGACGCATGCCTACCTAGGGTGCGGCCAGAGTGCATTCAGATTCAGATTCAGATTCCGAAAACAAGCGCGAGAAATAAACAGTGTAGTCGAAGGGTACGGCCAGAGTGCACTCCTGATTCAGATTCAGATTCAGACTCAGAAAACAAAGCGCGAGAAAAAGCAGGTAACCTGCTTAGACTACACTATTTATTTCTCGCGCTTGTTTTCAGAATCTGAATCTGAGTGCACTCTGGCCGTACCCGTATACAGAAAGAAAGCCGATCCTTTTTCTATGGACCAGCGCCGATAAGCGCCGATCAACGCCGATAAGCGCCGACACGCGCTGGTCAGCTGGTCATTATGATCTATGTTGTCCAAATAATAAATAATTTGTATTTGAATTATTATCCTTAGATTAAATCAATCTAAGTTATAATCTTTTTATAAATCTAATAACTTTATCTTTTATTAACTAAGCGCCATGGACGTATAAAAAAAGGCGGACAGAGTCCCGGTAAACAACAAACTGTGTCGCTCAGAGTCGGCCAGGTCGCTATATGTACAAGCCGGCACACACACATTCACACCATAGTCAGCCATTACGCGTGCAAACGTCAAAGCAGCCGATACGTTAAGTGGAGATAAAAATAAGTTAAAACAAGATGTCTTGCGTGGTAAAATGGTGTAAAAACCGTAGTGACCGAAAGAAAAAAAATCCAGGAATCACGTTTCATAGGTAAATGAACAATATAATCACTTTTTTTCTAGTTTTTAGAAATCGAAATCAATTTTCATTCTAAGCACAAAATAATTAATCTAAAGTCCAGTGTTGTCAATGTTCACGTAACCATATTACCTAAAATATGGGAAATTGGGGTGACATTAGCTTCAATCTATTATTTGTTATTCTTTTTTATCAGATTCCCTAAAGAAAATGTAGAATGGAGAAATGACTGGATCCAAGTTATTAGGAATTGTAACGGAGATGATGAATGTATTCCAAATAAATATAGTGTCATTTGCAGTATCCATTTTGAAGCTGGAGACTTATATACTACTAAAAGAGGACTCCGGCGTGTTGTTACGCATGCAGTACCTCAAAAGGTAAATTAAAAATTTTAACCGACTTCAAAAAGAAAGAGGTTCTATACGTCATATTTGTTATTTTTTTTTTCAATTGTTGTTCGTGCATATCTCCGAGATTCGTGGCCCGATTTTGATGATTATTTTTTTGTTTGAATCAGTTTATTAGCGAGATGGCTGTATTAATTAAGTGCAGAGCTGATGAGTATTTTCGGAGGGAAACAATGGAACTCCTCAATTACAAACAGTACTCAATGCATGTTTTGTTAATTTAAGAAATATAAAAAAGAATGCAGGCCTGGCCAGGCATATTTAGGTGATTTACTCTGGCTTATGAAAAGTGGAAAATATAAACTTTTTCATACAAAAATAAAAACAGACTTCATGTTAGTTTTCCAATTACAGAGCATAATGCGACTCAGTGGCTACCAATGCCGAATTATGCTGATGATTAATTGGAACGTGAATTAGTTTTCAAATGCACCAGCAAAGTGCGCTAAGTTCAGTGTTGAAAAAAAAGTGGAATATAAAAAAAGTCAATATTTGTTATATATAATAGTTTGAATTAACTTTGATTATTTAAAAAAACCTACAATGAAACAAAAGTTTTAAAATATTTTCAACGATAAATAATATTACTAACGATAATATTTAAACAAAACATTTCGATCAATGCCAACTTAAAAACAGTGCGTATGAATACAATTTTCGCCTTTCCAGTATCGATCGAAACGGTGCAGTGTGTTAAATTTTTGCCACGGGACCAACGTTCGACGCATCACCGCGGTCGTCGGTTCAAATCCCGCACTCGTGTTTTATTTTTTATTATATTTTTTTCCATTTTTTATATATTTGTTTTAGACCCCAGCACCTGTTCTTATTTTTATTTGTCTCCCTTTTATTTAGACTTTATAATTATAATTTTTGGACTAAAGGTGGTAAACTGTGGAGCATGTGGAAGTTTTTTGGCGCCGGGCAATGCTGTTGTTTGCTGTGCTTGCCCAATAAAATATCATAAGGCCTGCCTCGCCATCTATTAATATCAGAGAAAAGATTTTACGTGACAACGTCTTTTTCTCGGTAGAATATTTATTGATATGAATATAATTAAATTGCACAATAGGAACAAGGAATTGAATGAAAATAAGAATTGCACAAATTTTAACTATAGAAATATATTTTGTTTACTAAAACATTGTACATGTAAACTTAAACTTAACACGAGAGACTCATCGTAACGTTACCGAGCGTTACACTTTTTCATAAGTGACTCCCAGCCGCAACCTAATTTAAGACGTTGTCACGTCAAAAAACTTGAATTAATATCAAAGAAAAAAAATACTGCATAAATAAATAGTATTATTGCATAAGTTGACAAATAATGCTATGCAATAGCTTTACCGCGGCAGTCCCCGAGTGCAACACGATTTTTTTTAAGTACACGATTTGCATACCTATTTTCTAAATACAGTGGAGCCCCGGTAATCCGGCCCCTGGCTAATGCGGCACCCCCTATAATCCGACATCGTCTATTACATACAAGTATTCGCTAATTCACGATTGAACAAGTTACAACTTGTACGCACCATCACAATTGTGCTCGACGCGTAGGGTATTGTTTTTGACGTGACAACGTCTTAAATTAGGTTGCGGCTGGGAGTCACTTATGAAAAAGTGTAACGCTCGGTAACGTTACGATGAGTCTCTCGTGTTAAGTTTAAGTTTACATGTACAATGTTTTAGTAAACAAAATATATTTCTATAGTTAAAATTTGTGCAATTCTTATTTTCATTCAATTCCTTGTTCCTATTGTGCAATTTAATTATATTCATATCAATAAATATTCTACCGAGAAAAAGACGTTGTCACGTAAAATCTTCGCCCGTAAAACCGACTTTACAGGCAACCATTTTTTTATATTTTTTTGTAAATTCTATAGCATTTGACGTTACTTTTATAATAAAACATAATCTTTCTATTGTGTTGTTTAATTTACTCAATTTGACATACATAACAAAGTATGTTTTGTAATCTTATCATTGGATCTGTAATTTGTCGGATTACAAGGTACTCTTTTGTAAAAAAAATCGGACTATAGGGGGTCTTAGGCAGTACTCTATAATCCGACAAATTCGATAGTTCGACACTGCCCTGCAAAATGTTTGTCGGACTACCGGGGATCCACTGCATTCTTTTAAGACCCTTTACTTTGATACCTCGCTTGACGGGTTATAAGCATTTTTTTTCTAAAGGTTTCATTTTGGCGCCTTATTATTGGGCATACATACATGCATACACGCTCGAAAAACATTATCCACCGCAGTCGGGTAAAATTTTGAACAATTAAAATATTTTGATCTTTTTACTGTGTTTTATTGGTAAAAAATTGGCTAACCTAGCAACCCTGCATTCACTCACTCATAGATAACCGCCGCCATTACGGTGCCTCACTTTTGTCTTAGACGAAATTCTGTCCGCCTTTTTTTATACGTCCTTGCTAAGCGCAAAAATTATTTGTTTCGTACTTACCGAATGGTGATAGGGATGTCGAAAGTTGAAAAAAATATCGATATATCGATACATCGGTCTTATAAAAAATATCAATATCGGCTTCGATATATCGCGAAAAAAACATCGATATATCGATATATCGGACCAATTTTCCCAAAAATATCGTACTAAATATCGTAATAGCTCACGAAATATGACACGCGGAATAATAATGGAACGAAAATTATCTCCCTAAAAATAGACCCTATTTTCGAATGATGACATAGACAATACTAAATACAGCACAGATCATAGACATGTTGAATATCATTAATCTGAGATCCAATTACGATTTTTCCAGATTCGAATTTAGTTAGATCGTGATATGCCGCTAATAATTAAAAAAATATCGTTTTTGATACAAATTTCGATATTGGTTATTTTGTATCGATGTATCGATATATCGAATCAAAATATATCGACAAAAAATATCGATATATCGATATATTTTCAACAAGCCTAAATGGTGACAACAAGTCTTTCTTCTGGAAGGATTGGTTGTTTATGCCAATTACACCAATTTTTCATCAAATGGTTTTTCACTAAATCCAAAATGTAATAAAATGTTTCTTGAGTAATTCTTGTATATGTATAAAATCTTTGATCAACAAATTTCAATTTTTTTACAAATAAATGATGGTATTCTCCGAAACGTTTAATTTCTCTATTTATAGGATGTATAGCTTTTTTTCGCATTTTTAAATACACATTTTCTAACAAAACCAAATCATCGTCCGATGAGTTCGACATTTTGCTTGATCTGCTTTAATCGGCTTCCTTTATGTAGTAAGGATCGGCTTTCGGCTTTCTTTCTGTATACGGCCTAATGGGATGACTCCGATGACTCCAAGATGACTCATAATATAAATACTCTTTGGCATGACTCATGTCACTGTCATTCTTAAAAAACAAAAAGCGATCAGACAAGGCGAGTTTCTTTAGCGGCATTTTAGCGATGGCAGATCCAAGAATTCGGCAAATCAAAATAAAGACGGGCGTGGTGAAACGCATCGCAAAAGAGAAGATTGTTTACGAAAAAGAGGCGGAACAGCAAAAAGTCAGGGTACAAAAGTATAAAGACGAGGGACAGGACGAACATAACATTCGCAAACAAGAAGAAGTGTTGCAGGAATCTCTGATGATGGTCCCTGACTGCCAAAGGAGGTATAAAATTAAACAATAAAACATATAAATTTCAGTGACAATAAGACTTTTGTGTTCTCAAAAAAATGTTTTGTTCTGTAATTATAGTTAAAAAACGATGTGTTGAAACAGTTGTTTGTTAGGTTAGGTTATTATTCCAATTATAATTGAAATATTAGTAATGAACCAAACTAAAGTTCAGACTTACTTAATTTCGCCTATGGTATACAGCCTACAAGCTGCAGTACCCTAACGAGATTGCTAAGGCTAACACTATAGCTTATGATTTCATTTTATTATTTCTGTTTTGAAATGCTTCGCGTTCGTTTTTTTCTTTTGCATTGGTATAAATATATTAAATAAAATGAGAGTGACATATTTGAAAAACTTTGGCGGTCAGAAATAACAAAATGAAATCATAAGCAATCGCAATAGCCATAGCAATCCCGTTAGGCAATTGACCCCCTGGCACAAGTTGACAATATATACACTTTTAATTTAAAGCTTTTCTGAGTAATATGGAAACATCCAGAAACTAAAAAAAAATTTCAAGCTACATTTCATGTCTTGCTTTCTATAACACTTTGTTTTAACCAAATGATGCTGTCATCTCTGAAAAATATAGCTTCGTTCACAGTAAATTCTTGGCATCGTATCTTGGACCACATCTGACCTTAGATGACCACACCTCAATAAAGTTACCAGTATTTCATTATATGTAATTGAACATTTTATTAATTTCCAGATTAGTAAAAGCATATGCTGATCTTAAATCAACTTTAGAATCTGAACAGGATCTCAAAGAAAACGAAGACTACATTGCAGCTGAACAAGTATTAAAAGAAGCTGAATGTCAATTGCCAGAAACTGTTGCATCGTAATCATATTTTGTACTCTTTTTATTGCTATTAGTATATTTTAAACTTATATTTTCGCAATCATGTCTTACAACCATAATTTTTATAATGATCAATCATATGGAAATCAATTTACATTCCAAAGCAATTTTCGGCCACCATTTATTCCGCCACCTCCTCCACAACCCAGGTTTTATATGCCACCACCTGTGGTCACGCAGGCACCTGTTCCAAACATAATATCCGACCAGGATTTTGTTAATAATTTTATGAATGGGTTTGCTGAGGAAAAGAAAGCTAAAAAACCTAAATATGTATCTATTCATCAAGTACGCGATATGCTGCGGGATTTGGTAATGGAATTAAATGACATCAAAGAAAAGGAAAAGCAGTTATCACAGAAAATAAAGACTTATTCCGATGATGAATGGGCAAAGACATTTGGTGAAATCAATCACAAAAAGGATTTTATTAATAAATGCTTGTCAGAAATCACAGATTCACATGTTGGTGAGTTAAGAATGCTTATGGCAAAGAGAGCTGCGAAGAGGCTTCGCTTGAAAAGGCGCAACACTGAAAGAAAGAGGGAAAAAGAGGAGAGAATCCAACAGTTGAAGGAGAAGTCCAGGAAGATAGATGAGAATCTGCAAAAGATAAAGGACAGCATCAATAAAGCCAAACAAGTATGTACATAATTTTTATAGTATGTTAGTAGTAGTTCTACTACAAATTAAAACTAATCTAGTACAAGCTTTTAGGGTAGGCCGCTTAGCTGCATTAATTAGGGTAAATGTTAGCTCATTAATTGTCAATTAATGTCCCTTGGCCTTTATTTGTGATCACCATCAAAACCTTAGGAGTAGAAGCAGCAAAAATGTAGATATTTTAATATGAATAGAGTATCAAAGTTAATTTTATTGTTTTTACCTAAATATGTTTAACTTGGTATATCAAAATCAAACATTATTTTTTTTTATTTACAGGAAGAAGAAGCGAAATTGCAAGCAGACATGGTTTTGAAAGAAGTTGTACGTAAGAAACAAGATGCGAGGAAATTCATTAATAAGTTTGACGCACTGAAGAAGCTACGGAAGGCACGTCATAACACAGCCAAGGGCAGGGGAGAAGATGTGTCTGAAAAGGAGTCCGAAGATTTTATGACGAAAATAGGTTGGTTAATTTTATTTAACTTTTGAATCATTTATTTCAAGAAAGTGTAAGGTATAAATAAGAAAGATTTTAAATTGAAAGGTAAATGATATTGAGATGGTTAAGTTAAGAACCTGGAGGTGATGGCAGGCTGGTGGTTGCCAAATTTGGTGCCTCAACTTCCTGTTGTAGCAAGGTCAAAGGGTCAAGGCCAGACAGACATTTGTTTCGAAATTATTATCCGTTTTCGAAGATCTATTTATATATTTGATAATTTTATATATTTTGTTTAAAACAATGATTAGTTAAATATAAAGAAAAGTTTACTAGAGAAAAAAAACACGCGGAACAGGCAGCAGACGGGACTCGAACCCGCTCCCTTCGCTATCCGGGCGAATGCACTAACTATTATGCTACCGCGGCCCTGGTGGCCGTGTCGAATTTTTCCTAGCCTTAGGCTGCAAGGCAGCCCCATCTCTTCGCATTGTAGGTACAATGTCAAATGAATACTTTTACAAGTATTAACCATTTAATTTTGAAAGAAGAAGATAGTTGTGTTTTTATTTTTTCTATTTCTAGCAGTTAACTGCTAGATGTTTAAATCAGTGCATTCGCCGGGATAGCGAAGGGTGCGGGTTCGAGCCCTGTCTGCTGCCTGGTCCACGTGGAAATTTTCATAGTTTTTCTTAACTTTTCTTTAGATTTAAACATCTAGCAGTAAATAAAAATAAAAAAAAGCTTAAAAAATACAAACATTTCCTTATTTTGTTTGACAGATAATCTAAAAGCCTTGTGGATTCAGAAACTCTCTGATTATGAAAGAGAAGAAGCAGATCTCCAGAAAAAGTTAAGTGAAAGTAACGATAAGAACACAGAAGTTAATGAAACTGAGAAAATTATCACTTCCAATTTGGAACAATGGAGGGAGGAACTTTTCGGTGAAAAGGATTTAGCACCACAATTTGACTTCAATGGAGACTTGGGAAGATTTGTGGAAGTTAGGTGAGATTAATAAATATAATAAATATTTCCAACACTCACACCAATTAGCCTAGCCCCAAAGTAAGCACTGTAAGGCTTGTGTTATGGGATACTAGGGTAACGTAGAGTACAAATGCTTGTATTCATCACACAAACATCTGCCCCCACCGGGATTCGAAACCGGGACCTTTCGAGCCGGCGACACCATGAAACCCTGCGTACAAACCACTCGGCCACAGAGGTCGTCAAAGATTATCGGAGATTATTTTGGAATTTTTGTTATTTCACATATATTTATTTATGCATTCAGATTATTGGAGAACAATGAAGTTCTTGTCTCTTTTATGTTAGTATTTTGCTTTGGTCTCCCTACTAAATGCACCTGCTGCAAATGTGCCCTTAGTGTGCTTGCTTACATGCAGATATCATCATCAACAGCCTATGTTAGTCCACTGCTGGACATAGGCCTCTTCAATTGCACGCCATTGAGATCGATCTTGGGCTACTCGCATCCAGCTCAAAACAATACTATTGAGATGCGTGTTTTAGTTTCATCATCATCAGTCTATTAATGTCCCCCACTGCTGGGGCACAGGCTTTCCTTACGGATGGAAGAGGAGGGCCGTGACCCACCACGCGGGCCCAGTGCGGATTGGCGGGTGCTTACGACTGCAGATGCAGCCGGGACCAACAGCTTAACGGGCCTTCCGAAGCACGGAGATCGAGATAGTGAATTTGGTCACCCATCCAATGACCGACCACTGCGAAAGTTTCTTAACTTCAATGATCGCAGCCGAACGCGCTTACTACCTGCGCCATCGAGCTCCTCAATTTTTAATTTAACTTAACAAAATTAACACCCAGGTATATTGAGAATGTTTCTTATAAAATAAGCAAATACCCATTTAAAATGTTGTTTAAAATAATCATTTTTCAATTATTTAATTATAATTACCATCTCAATTTTAAGTCAAATGGTAAATTTTTGTAATAACTACATAATATGTTGTATTTGCAGATCAAAGTGGGACCAGTACGTAAGCACTGAAGGATCTCCCATACCAGTCGGTTGGGTGTTTTCTTCAAACCACCATGAATTGTAGCCGTTCTTTGCCATGATTTACTTGAGTCAATTTAAAAAAATATCCAAATTGATATAGTTTTCAAATACTTATGTACATACGTAGTTTTATATATATTTGTTTTTTATACAAGTACGCGGCCTTGATTTTGCAATGTGATGATTCTTCTGCATTTATAATGCTTGATTAAATTTTTTTACTAAACTTACATGCTTTTATTTTTCTTCTTTCCCATTTGCTAAATAAATAGACTGAAAAATATCTTAATTGATATTATATTTTATTTAAAGAAAATTTATCAGGCACTTAAATTATGAAAGGTAGATATAGTAGGTCTGGGAAATAAAATAAATACAACTAGCAAACCAGTGAACCAAATGTTCACCAAAAAAAAAAAGTATTTAATTAATTGAGAACTTCGGAGATTTTGTGTGGTTTCGTTTGAAATAGAAATCACGTGATTTCTCGAAAACCGGAAGTGCTACGTTACTCACATCCGGTTTGTAGTCTTATCAGACTATTCTTAACTTATAAATTAAACATTCTCTTACGGTTTGGCCGCTGAAACAGCACCACGGACGGACGGACGGACTTGTCTATTAGATAAGAGATACTGATGAAAAAAACTTCAAAACCCATTTAAATCATCAAGTCTTTTATTTGTCACTTCCAATTTCTGGATAATCTGTATGAAATTAAAAGTTAAAAACACACCAACACATTTTGCTTGATATAACCTACGTTAGCGCTTACGGTTACAACTAATTTTACAGGTAATTATTTTAATTAAATTGGTTTCAAATAACTGCTAAGTTTCGTCATAGAATGACACTGGCATTGTGATAAGAACAATGTCATTTTACGTCGACGAATGGCCATAGGAGCGAGAAAGCTTGCGGGTACACGTTACGTTGAAATAGAGTTGAATCTAAGTTTATTAGAGATAAAGAGAATGCTGAAGTCATTCAGTTGTTGCTTGGAACTCCAATATTGAACAAGGGCAGATATTTCAAAACTGTGATAAAACTTAACTGTCTAATAAATGAATACTCAATCAAATAGAGAGAGATGGCATCCCCTCACATTACACCAATACATTAACACAAGTCAACTCTTTATTTTGTCCGTATAATAAGTTATTAGACAGATGAATTTTGTCCTGAGTTTGAGAAATCAACTCTAAATGAAACAAGTTTTCCAACGGGGTTCAGATGCGTTTTCATCATTTGCGTAATGATAGATATATATATATATACTCCATAAATGATGCATCCTGAAAAGGTTTTATGCAAAAAAAAGGACTGAAAACCCATTTTAAACCTGTTGGAAAAAAATATTCATTTTATTATGAGATTATTGTTAAGCTATATCGGTGTGTGGACTCAATTTCAATTTGGCTATAGGTATATTTTTATTCCCTGTCTAAACAAACAGAGATATAAAATTGTAGGGAGGGTAGAATGAGATTATTAATACAAAGTGAGAGATAATTGCAAACTCCCCGCTACCTATGCATATTGAGGTAATACGGCATACACGCTATCTCAAATATTGCTTCATAAACTGCAGATTGCGTCTTCGCGTATAGATTAGCTAGTGTAAGATCGTAAGCATAGAGAAATATGCAAGAAACTTCATTATACTATTTAAAAGGTATAATTAATCAACTCTCCACAGTGCCGTCAAGCAAAACTAAATTACACACACATGAAGTTAAGGTTGATAATTGCTCAGCAAGTCTGTCATTTTATATAGAGCAAGCGACTGAAACGTTTGAAATTTTTACACAAATTTAAAAAGGTGAGCAAATTTTTGAGAAAATCTAATTTCGAAAAAAGGTTTTTCTTATGAAAATAAAATAAAAATAGATTGCTATAGAATATAGATACAGAACACGCGTATGAAAAGAATGCAACAAACATGTGTGTGAAATTCATTTCTGTCAATAAACAATGTCATACACAGATAAGGAACTATCAAAAATATTATAATTAAAAATTAAAGTTTGTTTATAAAATGCTAGTGTAACACAGAATGAAAATTGCAGATAGAACATTGTGGAAAATGCTCAAAGTTTTTGCTTCCTATGTCTGATGCCTGGATACATAGTTTTTAAAAGTTAACGCCATATTAATAGATACATTCTGGTGTCAATTCTGGCATGATTCTCTAAACATAAAACTAATAATAATCTTTATTTCTGAACCATGACGTATACAATAAAACAATTTAGCGTTTACAACCGTAGTAGTCTAAGACTGTGTTACAGTTAATAGCGCCCACCTCAAAAGACAGGCACATTACAGATATGATTAGAAACAAACAAGGTATTTATATTACATTACACTGTGTGTGTGTATGAGTGAGTGTGTATATGTGGTGTGTGTGTGTGTGTGTGTGTGTGTGATAGAGCGATGTGTGTGCATAAAATAAATGTAACATCAGTCTCACCTAAAGAAAAGTTTACTAGAAAAAAAATCCACGCGGACCAGGTAGCGGACGGGACTCGAACCTTTCGCAATCCGGGTTCGAGTCCCGTCCGCTGCCTGGTCCGCGTGGATTTTTTTCTAGTAAACTTTTCTTTAGATTTAAACATCTAGCAGTTAAATGCTTAAAAATAAATAAAAACATCAGTCTCTCCTTTTCATTCTGTATAGAGAAGGACAAGGATACACTGTTAGGTTTAGAGAATCGTGCCCGAAACGACACATCTGTCATGTTAAATACAAGATGTTGTAATTATGGATACGTACGTTTAGTGCGTAAAGTTATCCACAGGCTGCAATCGATCCAAGGCATTGAGCGAGCAAATACTTCATCGAGAACTATATCTAGACATGGAAAATGAAATGAGCGAGAGTCACATGAAATTGAGAACTCTATAGAAAGAGCGAGAGAAAACGATGAAGCAGTTTTCATGGATGTAGTAGGATTTATTGGCCGCACGATCGCTTCGTCTGTATCACAGCTCTGGCCAGTTTTTTAGATTTGAAAATGGAACGCTCAGTCCGTTCTCTATGTCCATGGGTCATATTTAATGATTCATGATAACTGTTGTAGTTCTATTACATTACCGCCAATATTAACTAGACCTACTAATTATATAATTTTGTTCTATTCCATTTCAATACAAAAATTTACAAAAGATAATAAATTATCCACAGAATATGTGTGGGTGTGTACATTGCCATTTATATTGCGAGAAGGCAAACGTATTTGACCTTACGGCCAATCAGCTTTAGAGCAAGTTTACATTGCGCGTAAAATAAAATGAACCGTTATTGAAGTGAAACTCCTTTCGGACGGGGTGTAATAAAAGAAACCCTATGGAAAAGATGAACACATATACAGGGTGTTACAAAAATACAAATAAAGCTTGAAGGGCATTGAAGTATTTTTAATGATCCTCGAACTAGTGACGTGTCTTAAAATGATCGATATTTTTATTAATCATTAAAAATAACTGTTTTTATAAAAAGTTAAAACTTCATGCAAATATTTTAAGAAAATTAGAGAAGACTCTTTATATGATGTACTTCAACGCCCTTCAAGCTTTATTTGTATTTTTGTAACATCCTGTACACGAGTGTGTGTTTGGGATCGACGAAACACACAACTCTTCCGACGTGCATGAATGTTAGAGGGTTACTCGGCGTAGGATGAAACGTTACGAGCGTCACACGCAACAATTTATATATGAGTGATGCGCGCGCTGCTCCATTCCCCTATGCCTTATGCACAGGCGGTGCATGTTAAGCAATGTTCGGTTATTTAAGAAAAGATGTTTCACTTCACATGTATTGTGTACAAAAATTTTATTTCAATAAAGGTTTTGCTGCCAAAATTATTGTAAACCGCCATCTTCTGATCGCAATGCAAATTCGCTCTTATGCGACTTAGATATCTATGCACTATTAAATTATTGTTGGAAGACAAACAAATCATAAGCTTCGGGTAACAAAGCCGTTTTCATTGCAACGTAGTAGTGTATCACTATTCAAAATTGGTTATTACAATATAATAGTTTTATATATAACTGCCTGCAGTATCATCAATACCTACATATTGTTTAACTACAACTAAAATGTACATTTGAATCCAGACTTTGGCATTGGTTCAGTCCTCAAATCTGGATTCATATTACTTACTTCATATTTACATCATTAGGGTCCACTTGCAGCAATCAATCAAAATTATTTATACGGTTTATGCTTTTACAAGAACTTATGAATGTCTAGAAGCTACGCCATCGGTTCGTAAATCTACGGCGGGAGACCTTGTACTGAGAAGAACCGGCAAGAAACTCAGCAAGGGCTGTTTTTTCTCTCTCCCTGTTTTATTTTTTACAGAGTCGAAAGTTGAAAACTGACTTCGAAGAAGAGAAGAATTCATGAAGTCACCTTTCATTACATAATGATTAAATAAACATTAATTGATTCCGTGCATTTTGATTGCAATTTTAAATTAAAAATATATTTAACATACCACAATGTCTAGTTGACATTGATGTTTTGACACTATCCTATGGCATATATCTAGTTTTAGTTGAATCGAAATTTAACAAAATTTGCTGCAAGTGGCCGTAAATTCAACTCGATTTGACTAATGAGCTGTTTCATATCGAAAAAGCCATCCATTTGTTTACACATAGACAAGTTTTTCATGGCTTCTGATAATAGTCTCGTTCTACTGTAATCAACGCTTTGCTTCTTTAAATTATCATAGATTTATAAAATATTTTGTGACATGACACAAAACGAAATTGTTTAAGTATAACAATTCTACGGCAAATTAGAACTAAAATTTAACCGTGATTTTTAAACAAATTTCGCTTAACTTTTTGAAGAGTTTTCTTCGATTAAAAATATGAATTTATTTATATACCTATAGTTTTATTTTTATTCGTAATTTGAATTCCCATGTCTACATCAGTCTATTTTCTATAAACTACAAAATCGGTGAAAGGCTATTGGCCTTTACTGAAATAATTCCAGTACATTTTATTTTAAAATAATAATTGTTATTCAACTCTGGACATTTACGTGTTTACTTTCACCTTTTAAGTATGCCAATATAAACAAATTATGTTAAATAACCTTTACAGTTTATATCATAGGTTGCTGTTGTTAAGCTTATAACTTTACCACCCAGATGCAGGGTTTAAAACCGGTTTCAAAAATACCGGTAAATAAAGATTAATACCGGTTTTTTAGGAAAACCGGTTTTTTAGGGTTAAGATAGAGCCAAACCTAAATTAAACGCTCCTAATGTACTTGACACTGATTTAGGTTCGAAAATTAACCGGTAAACAAGCCCTGTACAGATGTTTCAAGTTCTTGCCTCGAAACAATATGACTAACCACAGCCATACACATGTCCTCTTATCAATAAACGTGGAATAAGCTTAAGACTAGTTACGACGTGTTTTATTCATATTTCTTTTATTTTATTGACAAAGATTCACCAACAACATATAATTTTACATTACAATTTGAAAATATGTATAAAAGGGGTGATGACGGGGTACAGTAAACGAAATTCTATTTAGTCCGTCAGTTAGATGATCAAAAAGTAATGGACACGCATTTTTTCTTTGGGCAATCAACCAAAAAATGACAAAGTTATAGCGCGTCAAAGTTTGGGAGTAGGGGCTCGTGACGTCACTTTTTAGTGAATATTCGCTTAAAAGTGTACTCAAACGTGACGCCATGCGACTTTTCAAATCAATGTATCCCTGCAATGTTTATATTATGTGAAAAAAGAAAAAATACGTGTCCATTACTTTTTGATAATCTACCTGATAAACGAAGAAAAAAAATTAGTCATCATCCCTAATACCATACTCAAAGATAATATGCTTTTTACAGGTGAATACAGCATTCACATAAATACAAATAAACTACAATGACAGATTAGACAAACAAAAAAGGAATCCGCCAACATGAAAAATAGGAATACTGAATCATAATATTATTTAGTCTATGTTACGGTACAATTTTCACATCACTGATATGCCATTTGTAATTCAATGCAAAGAGACAAAACATGGAGTAACTAATCCAAGCTTATTCTTCGTTCATCAATAAGAGGGATGGAGTTTACACTGACGGCATTTGTATGAAATTGATAACAGTCTAGAAAGGGAGAAAAAACAACCAACACCTATACGAAATGTGCGCCGTCCGATCTCCCGTCTCTGTCGCACCTCTTAAACTTTATGGTTTGAGAGGGAATTTTCAGTCCACCCCTTAACAATAAAAGAGGAATAAGCTAACACTAGATCTTAGATTTCTTCAGTGGTGGCTCCCTCAAGAGTTGGCCAATATCCGGTCCAAATCTTTGTGTCCAAAATTTCTTGTCTAGGTTTTTTCGGTGAGGGCTTGGTCATTGTTTTTAACTCTGCTTATGCTGTGTAAGGCTTGTGCAAGTACAAGGACCTAGGATTTGGGAAAAAGAATAGGGAAAAACCGGAAGGTTAAGGTATAGTATTAAGCTTACACTAGTAACGCGATGTTTTGTTCATATTACTCAAATGACAAATTTATTATTCAATGAGCAGATACAAAACATGGAGTAACTAATCCAAGCTTATTCTGCGTTTATAAATAAGGGGTTTGTAATTTCAACAATGCGAAGTTGTAGTTGCAGTAAAAAAGAAACGTAGCAGGGCTGCAGCAGTATAGTAGTTGTAGCTTCTATCACAATCCACAAGCGCTTATCGTAACACTGAAAGTTGTCGTAGCACTGAACGTTGTCGTAGCACTTATCATTTTCGTAGCACTGATCGTTGCCGTAGCAATGCTGAGGCGTTGTAGCTTTAGATAGTAATAGATAGTAGTAGTTCATCAGTTATTACCAATATGGCGGCGTAAATTGCTTGTGTTCTTAAGATAGTATTTTCTGTGACCGGCAAAAGTAGCTTCCGAGTTTTTATTGTGGTATCTCTCATCATATATGGCGTAAGAAGCTTCTGAGCTTTAGATAGTATTTTTTCATCAGTTATTGCCATACAGTTAATTTCTCTATTTACTGACATAAGCCAGCGTTAATAGCTTCTGCGCTGTGGATAGTATTTTCTCTGATCAATTATTATCATATGCCGGCGTAAATAGATTCCGAGTTTTAGATAGCAATTTATAATTAGTATTGCCATATGCCGGCTTTATATAGTAATTTCACTCCTCTACTATTGCCGTATGCCGGCGTAAGTCGCTTCCGAGTTTTCATTGTACTTTTTCTAATCCGTTATTGCGTAAGAAGCTTCCGAGCTCTAGATTGTAGATTACCTCATCAATTATTGCCATATACTGGCGTTGTTAGCTTCCGAGATTTAGATAACAGTTTCTTTCCCAGTTATTGCCATATCCCAGCGTAATTTCCTACTAAAGGTGCGGGCAATGGCCCTCCAGCGGTGAATATCCGTGTGCCACTATGGTCATAGCAGTGGGTATATATAGCTGGAACGTATTTTACTTGGTTGAATCCGTCTGCGTCTTCGTCCGGGAATTGTGGGTACTGTAGGTAGAAAATGTCGAATTGAAATCTCATGGAAAAATCTAATGGAAACGGTATAGTATCTCAGATATTAATATTATTATAGGTATTTATATTTATCGCAAAATGAATTTAAATCTTTGTTGGTATTTCTCTTATATAATTGTTAATTGTAATTTCTACCCTGCGTAATCGTTTAAATTTTTGAATTGAATACAAAGTGAGTTTCCCTAATTGGCTAAAGTACCATTGAAAATTTTATATTAGATTATATTTTGTACAACGCGATTGAAACTTGTTCATAATAAATAAATGAAAATAAATAAGTACTAAAATATCAAATGGAGAAAGAAAAACATTTAACTATTTTATTTGCTTAATTGTGCAATGACTCATCATCATCATCAGCCTATTAATGTCCCCACTGCTGGGGCACAGGCCTTTCCTATGGATGGAATAGGGAGATTACTTGCGTGTGACGTCATTTTAGGCTCCGCCAATCCCAAGCGTTTTGGGTCACGTGACAACAAATATGAAAACTATTATCTTTTTCGTGGGTTTTTAGTAAAATTATGAATATATTTTTTTATGTAAAAATAGTAAAAACCCCTGCCAATATTCATTCTAAACACAGATGATAACAATTGGCACTTTATTTTTAATACTGTCGAATACCCTATTATCTGATCTCTAATTATAAGGATTAATTATTTAATATTTTCTAGTGTCTAATGAAAAGACTTGTTAGTAATATGTTTATCAAAGAGTAGTTCAAATGAATAACTTACTACATATCCCCTTGAAGCCCTAAGTGTGACCGTCTTCGATGAGTGAATGTTGCTCTCCAAATATTTACCAGCTCTCAAGTCGTAGAACATCAGTAAACCTGCACAAAGTTTCATCATCATCATCATCAGCCTATTAATGTCCCCACTGCTGGGGCACAGGCCTTCCCTATGGATGGAATAGGGAGATCGGGCCGTGACCCACCACGCGGGCCCAGTGTGGATTGGTGGGTGTTGACGACTGCAGATACAGCCGGGACTAACGGCTAGTGAAAGAAAATCACAGTGAGACAGAGAGCTACAGTACCGAGGCCGGTGTGTGAGTGAGAGAGAGAGCTACAGTACCAAGGCCGGTGTGTGAGTGAGAGAGAGCTACAGTACCGAGGCCGGTGTGTGAGTGAGAGAGAGCTACAGTACCGAGGCCGGTGTGTGAGTGAGACAGAGAGCTACAATACCGAGGCCGGTGTGTGAGTGAGACAGAGAGCTACAGTACTTAGGCCGGTGTGTGAGTGAGTGAGAGCTACAGTACCGAGGCCGGTGTGTGAGTGAGACAGAGAGCTACAGTACCGAGGCCGGTGTGTGAGTGAGACAGAGAGCTACAGTACCGAGGCCGGTGTGCGAGTGAGACAGAGAGCTACAGTACCGAGGCCGGTGTGCGAGTGAGACAGAGAGCTACAGTACCGAGGCCGGTGTGTGAGTGAGAGAGAGCTACAGTACCGAGGCCGGTGTGCGAGTGAGACAGAGAGCTACAGTACCGAGGCCGGTGTGTGAGTGAGAGAGAGCTACAGTACCGAGGCCGGTGTGTGAGTGAGACAGAGAGCTACAATACCGAGGCCGGTGTGTGAGTGAGACAGAGAGCTACAGTACTTAGGCCGGTGTGTGAGTGAGTGAGAGCTACAGTACCGAGGCCGGTGTGTGAGTGAGACAGAGAGCTACAGTACCGAGGCCGGTGTGTGAGTGAGACAGAGAGCTACAGTACCGAGGCCGGTGTGTGAGTGAGTGAGAGCTACAGTACCGAGGCCGGTGTGTGAGTGAGACAGAGAGCTACAGTACCGAGGCCGGTGTGTGAGTGAGACAGAGAGTTACAGTACCGAGGCCGGTGTGTGAGTGAGACAGAGAGCTACAGTACCGAGGCCGGTGTGTGAGTGAGACAGAGAGCTACAGTACCGAGGCCGGTGTGTGAGTGAGACAGAGAGCTACAGGACCGAGGCCGGTGTGTGAGTGAGACAGAGAGCTACAGTACCGAGGCCGGTGTGTGAGTGAGACAGAGAGCTACAGTACCGAGGCCGGTGTGTGAGTGAGACAGAGAGCTACAGTACCGAGGCCGGTGTGTGAGTGAGACAGAGAGCTACAGTACCGAGGCCGGTGTGTGAGTGAGACAGAGAGCTACAGGACCGAGGCCGGTGTGTGAGTGAGACAGAGAGCTACAGTACCGAGGCCGGTGTGTGAGTGAGACAGAGAGCTACAGTACCGAGGCCGGTGTGTGAGTGAGACAGAGAGCTACAGGACCGAGGCCGGTGTGTGAGTGAGACAGAGAGCTACAGTACCGAGGCCGGTGTGTGAGTGAGACAGAGAGCTACAGGACCGAGGCCGGTGTGTGAGTGAGACAGAGAGCTACAGTACCGAGGCCGGTGTGTGAGTGAGACAGAGAGCTACAGTACCGAGGCCGGTGTGTGAGTGAGACAGAGAGCTACAGTACCGAGGCCGGTGTGTGAGTGAGACAGAGAGCTACAGTACCGAGGCCGGTGTGTGAGTGAGACAGAGAGCTACAGTACCGAGGCCGGTGTGTGAGTGAGACAGAGAGCTACAGTACCGAGGCCGGTGTGTGAGTGAGACAGAGAGCTACAGTACCGAGGCCGGTGTGTGAGTGAGACAGAGAGCTACAGTACCGAGGCCGGTGTGTGAGTGAGACAGAGAGCTACAGTACCGAGGCCGGTGTGTGAGTGAGACAGAGAGCTACAGTACCGAGGCCGGTGTGTGAGTGAGACAGAGAGCTACAGTACCGAGGCCGGTGCCGATGGTGAGGGTGTGTCCCTGGAAGCTGGCGGATCGTATCCCGCATCCGTTGTACCGGGACGTCACCTTCTTCACGGACTGCAGCGTGCGACAGTCCAGTAACAGAGTGTAAGACTTGCATCCTATCGCGTATACGCCGCTGTCTTGCTGTAGAAAGAGCCGGTAAAATACCTCATTAATATAAAGTAAAAAAAATCGCAAAAAACCTGCTCTATTCTGAATCAAATAGACGGGCGAATAAAACGACTCAGGCGTTTAAAAGTTATGGTGAAATAAAAAATCGTACATACATATATGGACCCTGAAAACGTTGCAACTCAATATTTTCAAGCAGTCGTGTAAAATACTAACCCAGTCGCTTTTGGTAGGGGAGCTCAAGTAGGGAATTGAGGATTTATATTTATGACGGACAACCTTGTACTTTTTGACATATTGCAATAGTGACGAGAAACGTCAATTCACTATCGAAAAAACTACAAAATACGAGGCACATCGCGGTTTTAAAGCTTTCTTAAATTTTCACCAATGTTGAAAGAAGTTGCTGACAATAAAGATTAAATAAAACGAAAACATAAATGTTAATTCACGTTTACCAATTCTTATCATCATCATCAGCCTATTTAAGTCCCCACTGCTGGGGCACAGGCCTTCCCTATGGATGTAATAGGGAGATTGGGCCATGACCCACCACGCAGGCCCGTGCGGATTGGCGGGTGCTAACGACTGCAGATGCAGCCGGGACCAACGGCTTAACGTGCCTTCCGAAGCACGGAGGAGCTCGAGATAGTAAATTTTTGGTCACCCATCCAATGACCGACCACTGCGAAAGTCGTTTAACTTCAACGATCGTAGCCGAACGCGCTAACCACTTGCGCCATCGAGCTCCTCATTCATTATTTTATCCTCCAATCCTTATATCGCGATCTTATTGATTTCATGTTTTTACATTTTGCACTTCGAAAACTACAAATACCTACCCAGTTATGTGATGACTAAATAAACTATAATTATATTAATAATTGTATAACAGTTCTTGATAATAATAATATAACCATTAAACAATAACTTTATTAAATTAACTTAATCCTTTATCCTTCCTTGATCCTCCAATGATTTTCTCAAATGGCGAGTGTATTTGTATGTTGTTGTGTTAAAAATTATACGTTTAATTGTTTTAAACTTGACAAGTTTTTCGGAATCATAATATAAATTTAGACCTCATATAAGGAAGCTTTGTAAAAATTTTAATTCTACGCCCTTATATTTATCGAATCGATAAATTTTATGATTGAATGCGCGTCTTTAATGAAAATAATGAATGAGAATAGTAGTAAATGAATTGGGCATTCTAACTCACAAAATTGCGTCCTAAACGCTCGCACAACGCAAAATTGAACGCAATTATCTCTTATCTATTAGACAAGTCCGTCTGTCTGTGGTGCTGTTTCAGTGGCCAAACCGAAGAGATAGATAAAGAGAATATTTAAGTTAGAAGTTAAGAATAGTCTGATAAGACTACAAACCGGATTTGAGTAACGTAGCACTTGCGGTTTTCGAGAAATCAGGTTTTGGTGAACATTTGGTTCACTGGTTTGCTAGTTATATAACTATTATGCAAATTTAGCATACTGACTTATTGGTTTTGTCTATGCGATCAACCATTGGAGCTCCTTGGATAGTCCAATGTACCCTTTGGACAGGTTTAAGTCATGATTTCGTTGGTGATGTTGTATCTAGTGGTTTTTAATATCGTTGTTTCAAAGTGTAGAATGTTAATATAAATGATTTCTTCTTACCTGAGTGGCGAGGCAGACGAGGTCCTGACACGAAGGCAGCTTCCTCGACAGCTTCTGCCTGAAGGTCTCCGCGCTGAACACGTGGATGTACCCGTTGAGCGTCAACGCGGCGATCTCTCGCCAACGAGAGTTGAAAGTCAGCGCGCGCACTTTCTGACCTATACCGATGTCATCATCATCATTATCAGCCTATTCTATGGATGGAATAGGAAGAATGGGCCATGACCCACCACGCGGGCCCAGTGCGGATTGGCGGATGCTTACGACTGCAGATGCAGCCGGGACCAACGGCTTAACGTGCCTTCCGAAGTACGGAGGAACTCGAAAAAGAAGATTTTTGGTCATCCATCCAATGACCGACCACTGCGAAAGTTGCTTAACTTTAACGATAGCAGCCGAACGCGCTAACCATCTGCGCCATCGAGCTCCTCATACCGATTAATGGTATAGATTCCGGCATGATTCTTTAAACCTAAACTTAAATTTGACAACAGTGTATCCTTGTCATTGTCTATACAGAATGGAAAGGAGAGACTGATGTTATATTTAGTTTTAAGTTTAGAGACTCATGCCAGAATCGCCAACAATGTGTGGATGGATATTATATCATATAGCCGAGTCTCCGGAAGAAGTTTCTTGAAAACATTTAAGAAAAACACGTGTAGAGTCTGTGCGGAAAGAGAATGGGAGTTAGATTCGAGGGCGCTGTAGTGCTTTTCTACCGTATTTGTAAGGTTTTACCCCTTTTAGACATGATTAAATACAAAAAACCGCAAGAAATCGCAACAACAAACAAATCCGTATCAATACAAAACTTTACCGTTTTACAGATTTCTGGGTTTGATTGCCAAATAAATTTAGACTTAATGTTAACAATGAGGTAGGTGAGTCTGATCATAGACAGTTTCATCATCAGCCTATTAATGTCCCCACTGCTGGGGAACAGGCCTTCCCTATAGATGGAATAGGGAGATTGGGCCATGACCCACCACGCGGGCCCAGTGCGTATTGGTGGGTGCTGACGACTGCAAGTACAGCCGAGACCAACGGCTAGTGAAAGCGAATCACAGTACCGAGGCCGGTGTGTGAGTGAGGGAGAGCTACAGTACCGAGGCCGGTGTGTGAGTGAGATAGAGAGCTACAGTACCGAGGCCGGTGTGTGAGTGAGACAGAGAGCTACAGTACCGAGGCCGGTGTGTGAGTGAGACAGAGAGCTACAGTACCGAGGCCGGTGTGTGAGTGAGACAGAGAGCTACAGTACCGAGGCCGGTGTGTGAGTGAGACAGAGAGCTACAGTACCGAGGCCGGTGTGTGAGTGAGACAGAGAGCTACAGTACCGAGGCCGGTGTGTGAGTGAGATAGAGAGCTACAGTACCGAGGCCGGTGTGTGAGTGAGATAGAGAGCTACAGTACCGAGGCCGGTGTGTGAGTGAGACAGAGAGGTACAGTACCGAGGCCGGTGTGTGAGTGAGATAGAGAGCTACAGTACCGAGGCCGGTGTGTGAGTGAGATAGAGAGCTACAGTACCGAGGCCGGTGTGTGAGTGAGACAGAGAGGTACAGTACCGAGGCCGGTGTGTGAGTGAGATAGAGAGCTACAGTACCGAGGCCGGTGTGTGAGTGAGACAGAGAGCTACAGTACCGAGGCCGGTGTGTGAGTGAGACAGAGAGCTACAGTACCGAGGCCGGTGTGTGAGTGAGACAGAGAGCTACAGTACCGAGGCCGGTGTGTGAGTGAGACAGAGAGCTACAGTACCGAGGCCGGTGTGTGAGTGAGACAGAGAGCTACAGTACCGAGGCCGGTGTGTGAGTGAGACAGAGAGCTACAGTACCGAGGCCGGTGTGTGAGTGAGACAGAGAGCTACAGTACCGAGGCCGGTGTGTGAGTGAGACAGAGAACTACAGTACCGAGGCCGGTGTGTGAGTGAGACAGAGAGCTACAGTACCGAGGCCGGTGTGTGAGTGAAACAGAGCTACAGTACTATGGCCGTAGCCAAAATACCTTATTGAATGGTTAGTTAACTCACCAGCGCGACAGTCTCGTAACGCGAGCGGGGCCACGTAATCATGGTGCGGGGCCGGGGCCGCCCCAGACGCGGTAGGCGCGGCGGAGGGCGGCGCTGACGGGGCGCGCCACAACGCCAGCTTGGAGTCCCGGGACCCCGTCACTAGGAACTCGTCGTCTAACCAGCACATGTCCAGGATCTGGACGACATCATGCGATCATCTATACTTATAATAAACTAGCAAACCGGTGAACCAAATGTTCACCAAAATCTGATTTAAAAAAATAAATGAAAAAAAAAATGTATTTAATTAATTAGGAACTTCGGAGATTTTGTGTGGTTTCGTTTGAAATTCGTGATTTCTCGAAAACCGGAAGTGCTACGTTACTCAAATCCGGTTTGTAGTCTTATCAGACTATTCTTAACTTATAACTTAAATATTCTCTTTATCTATCTCTTACGGTTTGGCCGCTGAAACAGCACCACAGACGGACGGACGGACTTGTCTAGTAGAGATCTGTAGAGATGTCAATTCTGTACATAAAATATATTCTTAAAATAACTATCAGGGGGTGATTAGTAATCGATACTGATGCCAAAAATGCAATCAGTAAAATTTTTGTCTGTCTGTCTGTCTGTGTGTATGTTCCTTATAGAAACAAAAACTACTCGACGGATTTTAACGAAACTTAGTACAATTATTCTTCATACTCCTGGGCAGGTTATAGTATACTTTTCATCACGCTACAATCGATAGCAGCAGAGTAGTGAAGGGAAATGTTGGGAAAACGGGAGAAGTTACTCCATTTTTTAAGCTTCCGTCGCGTGTGCAGCCTTAATGGTTAAAGTTACATAGAAATCATGTATGACGGAAATATTCTACATAAAATTGTCTAAAAAATATCCCGCAACAGCATATGTCTATCTTTTATGGTTGACTCACAATAACACGTGTAATTATATAAATAAAGTCATTCTTTATAGCACAAGCCTGAGAACAAAAACATAGTTTACACTACGGCTCTACACCGAAGCGAAGCGAGGGCGGGCCACTAGTTATTAATAATAATTTATTTCTAGTAAGAGTTAATTTACAATTTAACTTTTAAGGCTAAAACAGTACTAATATCTCTAATAACATATTTATCTGCTGCCGAGCTAGGCAATATGCCTGTATTACGGCATACAGCGCCAATCTTCTTAGCACATAATGGCATCATAAATCCATTACATTAAAAATTAAAAAGAAAAGACAAGAAACCGACATATATATTCAGAAAATGTGTGTGTGTGCGCGCGCGTTTGTGTGTGGTGTGTGTGTGTGTGAATGTGTGCTAGTGAGTATTGAATCAAATAGACTATACTCCAATCGACTTCTATTGAGCAAAAATGGATCTAAAAAAAAATCCAACACACACGACTACGGATACTAGGGTAACGGATAGAATTAGTGTTGCCAGGGCCGATATATTTTAAATCGGTAAATGAGGTCAAAAAAATCGGGACTTAGTGTTGCAGTCGGGACCGTAGATAAACAAAAAACAAGGGTTTTTTAAGCCTGGGTTTAATTTATGTGTTTGTGTCTCAATTACCTAAATTTCATTTTTTGATTAATCGGGACATTTAGCTTCCCGATCAGGTACAAATCGGGACGCGTCCTCAGACCCCTGAAAATCGGGACTTCCCGCGCAAATCGGGACACCTGGCAACGCTAGACAGAATACATATATCGTACATACATAAGTATATTTATATAGAAATACATATAAAACATCACTGGAGTACAAATGCTCGTATTCATCACAAAAACATCTGCCCCCACCGGGATTCGAACGCGGGACCTCTTTGAGTCGGCGACGCCATGAAATCCGGCGTACAAGCCACTCGGCCACGGAGGTCGTCATTAAATAAACTATACTCCAATCGATTTCTTTTGAGTAAAAATGGGTTAAAAAGATTAAATGTCCCACATCTAAAGTGAAACTTCTTCATAAGGGCATAAGGTATAGGGGAAAATAGCAGCGCACGCATCACTCATATATATATGTATACTAGCTGACTCGGGGAACTTCGTACCGCCCAAAAGTAATAATTTGCAATAAATTAAAATTGCGACTATAATTTGAGATTTAAACTATCCTATCTCTCAAATTGGATCGAACTGCACATGGTGTGCGAATTTTATTATAATCGGTTCAGTGGTTTAGGAGTCCATTGAGGACAAACATTGTGACACGAGATTTATATATATTAAGATTATACTAGTGGCCGCCCGCGACTTCGTACGCGTGAGTTAGTTAGCAATAAAGGGTCACTGCTCGTTCCCCGTAGGTGATAGCGTGATATGTAGCCTATATGTTGACCCGACTTCTTAATAATATTCATGCCAAATTTGAAGTAAATCCATGTAGTATTACTTTTTGAGTTTATCCCGGCCATACATACAGAGAAACAAAGAAAAATTCTAAAAACTATATTTTTGGCTTCGGTATCGATTGTAGATCACGCCCCAAGTATTATTTTAAAAAAATATTCAATGTACAGTTTTGCCTTTCCTACCATTTTATTATATATACATATAGATATTTTATCGCGCGTGACGCTCGTAGCGTTTCAGCCTTCGCCGAGTTACCCTCCAATGCTCGTCGGGAAGAGCTGCACACGCATCCCATACACACAAATATGTATATAGTCGTATGACGCTCGTGACGTATTATATGACGTATATTACACGTATATAGTTTAACCTTGGTGTGGGTTGTACACTTACCTAATTAATATCTACATTATAATTTTATGTAATATTTAGTGTATAACTGTTCTATGTTCCTAAAAAAAAATAAAAAAAAAAACCTCTCAAAACGGGAAGTGAAATTTGATACTTGCTGTATACGTCATCTATTCGCGAAATGGCGACTTAAATCAAAATGGATTCCGTGCGACAAAAAAATATATATTACGCTGTAGCCATTCATACAAAAACAGAGATTATAGTTAGAAAAAACCTACGTACCCAGTCTTTATGCGCCTCCCCGACGCACACGGGGTCTAAAGTCGGCAAACTGTAAATGGCCAACTCGCAAGAGTTCCTCGCGCCAGTCGCCAATAATGTCCTGTAAACAAATGTCGATTGCCGTCACGACAAACTGTTATGGGATTCCATCTTGACGACATTAATACGGCTGGAGGAAATTTAACATTTCTCTCAGATCAAGTACCCTTAGCACGAACCAATATCAAATTGGAATAGTTGAATTCGATCTTGATACGCGTCAAGTATCAAGAAGTTTTGTATGTAAGATTTTTATTTCTAGTTAGATACGCCTGTTCCTCCCTCATTTAAAATCTTATCTAAATTTCTAGCAATTAATAACCTAAAATTATAAACATACCTACCTATTACTGACTTTTGGTCTTCAGTGCTTCTCATCAACGTTATTAAGACACCATTAACCACAATTTGTTTTGTGAGGGCCTGTGTTTGTTTTAGATAAACCTGTTCGGTGTCTGCATAGAAACCATCCCTAGGTGACACTGGCGGAATTGTGAAGGCACAATTATAAGCCATAAAATAAAAGAAGATGTTTAATTGTTGTTACGTCTGTTGTAACGCTGTTTAAATTTTCATACAAAACTTCTTGATAATAATTTTGCTCGTTTACCATCAGGTGGGCTATATGTTTGTTTGCCACCCATTTGATATTAAAAAAAAAACCACGGGTTGCACGTCGGGAGTGCCGGCATAAGTGAAAACTTGAATATTCTCGGCAACAATTTTCATTCGTAAAACTGTAAATAAAACTCAAGAATCACGGTTTGTCTTGAATGTTTTGTTCGTAATCGCCATTTTGTTATCAAGAAAAGGACAACAATACAGCTCAGCCGAAAGCGGACTCGCCGTTTCGCTCGCGCTTAGGGCATCGGAACCGGTTCTACCCGGAATCGAAAGAACCGAGATGATGTTAAAACCCGGTTCTAACGATTCTAACGGTTCTTTCGGTTAATATTTGAAAACATTTTGTTTACCCACGAATTATGAAATGGACAGCCGGAGGTCTTAAAAAAAACCGAAATTACTTATAACAAATTTAATTAGAAATAAAGAAATTACAATTATTATATTACTTAAAACCTATTGACCCGATCGATGTGAGAATCAAAGTGATCCGATGACGATGGCCCTGATGTCGCGGCGACGGCGGTCACGCGGCGGCGCGGCGTTCACGTTTCGCAGCGGCAGCATTTCCGCCGTGCGGCAATAATTTCGATGGCCCACTTGCATGGGCGAAGTCAGCGCTTTACTTGTATTCTATGTATGTAATTTCTCCCCCCTCAGATCAGCAACTATTTGAGAATTTTTAGATCAAATATTGCTGGTGGGTCCTTATCTCCAGGTTTTCTTGGTTTTCCTTGATTTCTATGGGTTCTCGGCTCTGGGGGTGTAGGTCTTGCATATTGGTGGTACTCAGAACTGGTTGGATCGGAGGCTTCGTTTTTTCTGCATTTCGTAAGTCCATAGCGTCGTAGCACGACTACGATTACGAGTGCGATTGCACCGAATAGTACGCCGTAGAAGGGTATCGTAGTGTGGTATAATATCTCAGTCGGGTTTTCGTCGAGATGAACTGGTGTCTGCAGTGATATTTTATCTTGTACGTGATAGAGACTTCTTAGATCAATGGAGTGCAGCTCGATGTGTGTAGAGCCCTCAGCTTGCAGATGCAGATCAGGAATCTTCATTATCTTGAGTGGTTGACCTCTTATTTCATCGTTGTTGTTCGTGATGGTGAGTTCAGATGTTCGTAAGATGCATTTCAGTGGGATGGTGACCAAATAGCTTCCTCGTAGTTGTGTGTAGTCTTCTCTTCCGCAGGAAAGTTGTGCCTTTGTCTCGTTCGGGAGTGAGATTATGTAGTGTTGGTCGTCAAGTTTCTCCATTGCTTCTTTATGCAGTGTTACAGATGACAGCTTGCAGGTGCTCTTCAGAGATTGGTTCAAGATGAGATGCTGGATACAGTCAGGTACGGTACGGACTTGGTGATTTATTCCTTCTTGACAGAGATAGCCGTGACTTAACTTCGGGCATTCAGCCTCTATGTACACGAATGCGGACTCGCAAGTTGCCAAAAAGGGATAGGAAGGGATAATGGCTTGGTGATTACTATTGGGTACTACTGATAATCTATATAGTTTATAATTTTCCTTTACAACTATCGGGATTCTAAAAACTAATACTATTTCTTTACCTACATAATAAAAAGCGGGTTTTATTACCTCGTAAAATTCCCTTAAATCTATGTCTAAAATATTTTCCCTATTATATAATTTTCTTAACCTGGCTATCATATTACCTAAAATATCTACCTTGAGCATTGCATGGTGTGTGCTCGATGCACGTACGAATGCTAATACATTTTCTATATTAATAAGTTCATTATATGTGTCCTCTACATTTTCACTAATGATGGTCAGCAATTGAGCAAACTTTGCGTATTTTATAAGGCTGTAATTTTGCATATAATCTTTATCTAATAATTGATGTAATGTGTTATTTATAAGACTTTGATTTTCTACTATGTGAGAGATAACGCTAAAGTATTTCGTCATCCATTCTTTATTATAGCTTATGTGATTGTTTAACTCAAATGCTAACTTATCCTCGTTACTATAAAGGTTCTTTATCGCGTGATCATATTTCAGCGCGTCATTATAGTCCAGATTGCCGGTAATGCTTTTAATTACAGAACCAAATGCATTTACGAGACCTCTCTTAGCACGGCTTGGCTGTAAACTGGCTAACTGTTTAAAGGACTTTTCTATTTTATTATTCAAGTAGTTAATTTGGAGCTCATATAAAATATAAGTGTCATTGGGTAGTCTGTCTTTAAAAGTCTGTATTTGCAATTGCAATGTAGAAAGGCTATTTTCGATGTCATTTAATTGAATGCGTTGTAAGAAAGTATGATGATGTGAAATGAGTTTAGTCGGCCCTAACATGAAAGGTAGTAGTCCGGGTCCGTCGTCGAGAGTCTCAAGTCTTATCTCCTGTGGGCTTGTTGATTGGACCAGAAGCATCAGCATCCTGTAACAATTTAACATTTTTGGGCACACGTTTCAGTCTTGATTTAGCCACGGGGCCACGTTTCTTAGAAGTATAGATATGGATAGGCAAATCAGCTAATACGGTGTCCTGTGTATATCTAGGAGCGATTTTTTGTCTGCTGGCCATTGGATTTTTAATGAAAATCTGTTGTTGAGGTGTATACTCTATTTCGGGTTCCCTAGTCTTATTTCTATTTTCTATCAAAGCTGTACGATTTTTTAAAGAAGATTGATTAATAAGTTCGTAGACCGTATTCATTTGCGCTTTATGATTTTGTAGGTATTGCTGTAGTAAATGTGACAAAGGGTCGATATCAATAGGGTCTCTTGGGTCAAAATGCCCTGTTATTAAATCAAAAGGTTTGCACTTAGTAAAACTATGTATAGACGAGTTATATGCAATGATTGCGTAAGGCATCAAGTTCACAACAGGTTCGTCCTTATGTTGCAACTTGAGTATGCGAAGGTGCTCGAGTAATGTCGAGTGAAGTCGCTCGATATTACCGTTATCGTTCGGCGCGTGAGCTAATGTTCTATGGTGGTTAATTTTGTGTAATCGAATAAACTCTGAAAATAACTGATTAGTAAACTCGGTCCCGTTGTCTGTTACTATGGTATAGGGGAGGCCATGATGGGTAGCAAACATAAGTAAACCCTGTAAAATACTAATGGCGGTCCCGTCTCTCAATAGGTATGCTTGACCGTATTTTGAGAATACGTCTATGAAAGTCAAGTATTTTTCGTTCTGTGCAGTAAATAAATCCATATGAATAGTCTCAAAAGGTCTAGTCGGTGGAGGTACTATGTTGAACTGCTGTCTCACGGGGTTCCTATCATATTTTGCTTGACCACAAATCGTACATTCACCTATAAATTTAGCTATTTGTTCTTTCATTTTAGGCCAAAAGTATTTCTTGGAAAGAGCTAGGTAGCACTCAGTTATGCCCCTATGATTCGTTTTCCCGTGATGGTAATTACGAATTATTTCCTGCTGTCTAAGATATTCCTTAACGTTTTCTATTTCTATTTTAGTTAGGATAAGATTCATAGATGAAGACTTGAATTTTTCTTGAATGATAGGGATGATAGAATACATGGCAAGAGGTGGATTAATGATCAAGGCCGTTTTAACTTTCGGGCTTACGTACTCTTTTAAAGCACTAACTATATCATTTTCTAAGTTAGATTCGCATACTTGTAATGAGATGCGAGTATGGGTATCGAATGGTTTAGTAATAACGGCTCTACGTTTTACGTCTGGAACAATAGTGATATGCAATTGGCGGTGAAATTTATTTAAGGGTTCATCAGTTATGGGAACTTCTAAAATTGGGTTTTCGTGGCTAGTGTGTACGGTTTCAGTCTCAGAATTAGATAGTAATGATGGTGGTTTTTCTGAACAATTAACAATTACGGAACTAATCTCCTCGTTATGTATCTCGATTCGCGATAGGGCGTCGGCGTTGGTGTTATTTTTGCCCTTCTTATAAGTTACAGTAAAGTCATATTCGCTCAATCTTAAGCGCCATCTAGTCAATCTCGAATTCGGTTCCTTCAGACTCATCATCCATTCTAATGGTTTGTGATCTGTAAGAATTTTAAATTTGCGACCGAATAAATAAGGCCTAAAATACTTTGTAGCCCAAACGATGGCTAAAAGTTCCTTTTCTATGGTACTGTAATTGATTTCACTATCGTTAAGAGTCCGTGATGCGAATGAGATCGGTTTATCTGACCCTACAGGTCCCTGAGACAGAATAGCTCCTATAGCAAAATTCGAGGCGTCTGTTGTCAGTAAGAACTCTCGGTGGAAGTCGGGATACTGTAAGATGGGGTCGTTAGTCAGGAGTGTCTTGCATTTTTCAAATGCGTTTACGTAGTCAGAGTCTAAGGTTATCTTTTTACCCTTTTTTAAACATTGAGTCAATGGTTTGGTTATGCGAGCAAAATCAGGGATAAATTTACGATAATATCCAACTAGTCCTAAAAATTGTTTAATCTGTTTAGTAGTTTCTGGAATTGGATATTTTTCTATTGCGGAAATTTTGTCGGGGTTCGGTTTTATACCTTCCCTCGTTATGACATGGCCTAAATAGTTAGTTTCTAACTTGAGAAATTCCGACTTGTCCATCTGTATTTTAAAATTGGACTCGCGTAATCTCTGTAATACTTTTTCTAGGTTATTAATCGCTTCCTGTAATGAGGTCCCTAGCACAACGATATCGTCTAAATAAACTATACAGATTTCGTTTTGAAGGCCTCTAAGGACGTTATCCATGACTCTTTGGAACGTAGAAGGACTGTTCTTTAAACCCATGGGCATTCTAAGAAATTCGTAATGCCCGTGCTCTACGTTGAAGGCTGTTTTCAAAATATCGGCTTCATTCATCTCAACCTGGAAAAATCCTGATGCAAGATCTAGGGTAGTGAAATACATGCATTTCCCTAGTTTGTCAAGAATGTCAGATATGTTGGGGATAGGATATTTATCGTCAATAGTCTTTTCATTCAATTTACGAAAGTCTACCACTAAGCGCCACTTCTGTTTTCCCGATGCGTCGGCTTTCTTTGGCACGACCCATATAGGTGAGCTCCACGCCGAAGTGGAAGGTCTTATTATCCCTTGTTCTAACATTTTACTAATTTGATCGCGAACTTCATTTCTATGTATATAAGGGTAGCGATAGCTTTTCGTGTAGATGGGAATTTCGTCAGTGGTATTAATGCAATGTTTAATTCTATTAGTAAAAGTTAAAGGCTCGCCTTCTAAATAGAATACGTCGGCGTAGCGCGAACATAATGCCTCGATATTCGCTTTTTCCTCTGCGTTCATATGATCCGTCCGGAGGCGCGATAAGACGTCATGCGCGCGTGACGTAGGCGGCGGCGCAGTGCGCGTGCACTCGATATTGAGTAACTCGGCTTGCGCTGGCCGGTCTAGAGAAAATATTATGTCGTTATCTGTCGAATTATAAATTTCTAATATTCCGCGGCTATTTTTTACGGACGTTACACATTCATGGATAAGACAGTTACAGATTATTTGCTCTTCTACAAAAACATCGCCATCCGGGGCGTTTATTGGGATACGAACTAGTTTAGACGAGCGGGCCGGTATAATATCCTCGTAAAGGTTGACATTACATGAGTTATACATCTGTATAGGGTTAACAGCATTTTGCGTAGTTAACGTCTGATTCTTTAAATCTATTTTTGCTTCTAATTTCGTAAGTAAATCTAAACCTATAAGGCCGTCGAAGTAATTATGAAAGCGGTATACAAATAATTTTATGGGGTTCTGATCTTTAAATTCGGAGAAACATGGAAGGGTAATAGAGTAATCATTACGGCTAGTCGCATGGACGTTGGTAACTTCAAACGGATCGTAATCTAAGGGGACATTATAGAAAAACTTATCTACACATTCCGGGCTAATAAATGACTGATTAGCACCTGTGTCTATTAATAACTTTAAAGGTGGCTCCGCTATCTGAATATAGGGTAACTGTCTCTGGGTTTGCAAATTGAGTTCTATTTTAACTTGCCTGATGGGCCATTTAACTGAAAATCCGAATCTAAATTACGAGTGGAACTTGACTCTTGTGGCTCGTCATTTGACTCTGCACTGGTGGTGGGCTCGTAAATTTGAACTCTATTGTCATAGTCGTCGTTCGAGTCATAGTAACAGTAGTCACTTACGTCATTATAGTAGTCTGTGTCGTAGAAATAGTCTTGATAATATGAATCATCGTAAGCGCATTCATTTAAATTGACTTCCCGTGATTTGAAATAATTATTGGGTGGCGGATTCCCGTATTTACGCCAATCGTGTCCCGACAAAGTGGGGGGTAACTGTTTCGGTACAAAATGTTGTACTCCGCTCATAGGTCGTGGGGCTGAAAACTGGGGTTGATTCCTAGGTGGTAATCTAAAATTATTACTCTGGGGGTTGTACCTTGGCGGGAGTGCACTAAACATTTGCTGAGTGCGGGTTGGTATGCGCTGTTGGGAATTATTATTTAACATATTAACTCTAAAAGGCTGTGAATGAGCAGGGTAACGATGCGCTGGCGGCGGCGGCGGTATAAACCGCTGCGTTGGCTGGTTCGCTAAGTTATTGTTAAAATTATAATTATAAGGTTTAGGCATTGAGAAACCTATAGGTACTGCAGGCGGTGGACGGAATGATAATTGTGGCTTAGGTAAACTATCAGTGCGTTGCTGTTGATAAAGAATATTTAATTCTTCCTGCACATACTCTAGAGCTTTCTCTATGCTATCAGGCCTCATACACCTGATGCGTGATCCAAGTGGTTCTTTTAAACCTCGAACAAAAGCCTGCATGGTCAATTTCTTATATAAAGTTCGTTTAGCTTCAATAGTGGTACCTAGATCCTCATGCAAAGTAACATATGTCATTATTGTACTGAACAATGTTTGACATTGTTCGTAAAATTCTTGGGGACTGCTATTGCCTTGCCTTGCTAAGGAAAGGTCATTATATAATGCTGTTTCGTCTCTTTGGTCTGCAAAATTATTAATTAAAGTATTTCGTATACCAGCCCAACTTTCTGGGATGCCGTTTGAATTTATTATAGTGGCGGCGGGGCCGGTAATTTTATTAAGAATTCCATTTAACAAATAAAGATTATTTAATCGACCATTTGGATCCTCGCTCAGAAATTCTTGACACATTTGATCGCATATTCGTATAAACCTAGTAAGGACATTTGCGTTCCCGTCAAAGTCAGGGACGAGGCGTAAGGCCTTATGGATTAGGTCTGGGTTCGATTCCATGGCTACTACTTCAGGAATATTATCTAAACTATTTTCCATAAATCTACAATTATCGACTAAATATCTTCTGCGAGACTGCTGATGTGAAGCAGAAACGCGCAACCCAGAGTTTCGTGGGTGGAAAATGGTGAAAAATTAAAAGGACTTACAAGATAGGACAGGAGGCAACACGAGAACGATTCAAGTGTACTCACATAAACATTTCGGCTCTCTTACGTATCGATTTCTGGATACTTTCCCTCTGGCTGCTCCTTCAGGTTCAGGATACTCGTGCCGTGACTTGAAAGCCACTCGGGCGGCTCGTGCAACGAACGGAAATCTTCCTGGATGTAGCGCGAAACCGACCGCGAATATCCTACCGACTGCGCCAATTATGAAATGGACAGCCGGAGGTCTTAAAAAAAACCGAAATTACTTATAACAAATTTAATTAGAAATAAAGAAATTACAATTATTATATTACTTAAAACCTATTGACCCGATCGATGTGAGAATCAAAGTGATCCGATGACGATGGCCCTGATGTCGCGGCGACGGCGGTCACGCGGCGGCGCGGCGTTCACGTTTCGCAGCGGCAGCATTTCCGCCGTGCGGCAATAATTTCGATGGCCCACTTGCATGGGCGAAGTCAGCGCTTTACTTGTATTCTATGTATGTAATTCACGCAAGCTCAAAAGTCTCGTATACAAAGATGAAAATCTATTAAAAAAATGTCGCTAGGCGCCGGGGGCGCCGGACAATGCAATGTCAATTCGCCATTTTAACTGGAAAGGAAGCATCGTTCTGCTGTGTTTACGGCGTATTGCAGGTATGTTTGATTTTATATAGTTTAATAATGTTTATTTTTATATAAGTAAGCAAAAAAAGCATTTACATATTATTATTTCTGTTTATTTCGCAAAATTAAGAAAGAACTGAATACTGTGAACTGAACTAATTGTTATTAATTTCAGAATTTAAAAATCGATGGTTTTTGTGAACATTGCAATTTTTAAAGATTCTTGTGTTTCTAATAAGTAAAACATGATTATTGATGAAAAATATTCATTGATTTTGAAAAAGTACCTCATTATTTGATCAACTACCCTCTAAATTAATTACTTACCTCAAAAGAACCGGGTACCCGGTTCTGTGTTTTGAAGGGAACTGAAAGAACCGGTTCCTAAAATGTAATCGGTTCTCGATGCCCTACTCGCGCTGCGTTGAAGCGTACAGGTCTGTCTCGCTCGCTCGATTGAATGTATACAGACGTGTGTGTGTGAGAGTTGCTTATGTAGTTGAGTCGGAACATATTTTATTTGATGCTAGTATAAGCGTACCGTATCTTACCTTTTTTTAATCTAACATTATTATAGCAAGAAAAAAATCCACGCGGATCAGGCAACAGACGGGACTCGAACCCGCACCCTTCACAATCCGGGCGAATGCACTGACCAATTACGCTACCGCGGCCCTGACGGCCGCATCGAAATTCTTCTAGCCATTCTTAAGCTGCAAGGCCATTTCTTCGCATTGTAGGTAAACCACAATGTCAAATGAATACTTTAACAAGTATTAAACATTTGAAAGAAGAAATAAATAGCAATTATAGCTAAAAAATTTTTTGGTGCTGTTTCCGAGTCCCGTCTGCTGCCTAGAACGCGTGGATTTTTTTCTATTTATATTTTCTTTAGATTTAAACATCAAGCAGTTACATGCTTAAAAAAATAAAATATAATTATTATAGCAGTTTACCTAGAGGGATTTATCTGCAGCGCGTGTATCCCGGTCTGGTGGTCGAGGCCGGGCCACGGCGCCCGCGGCCGCAACGTCGGGATTGCGTCTAAAGACCGCGTTCGTACGTCATACACCATCAACTGTGACGAAAACATACCAAGACACACTTAACATGACATGAACAGACATACTCACTTCATATCAGGGGGCCAATCGCCTAACTGGATTGCTTTGGAAAACGCTATCGCTTACGATTTCATTTTGTTATTTCTAACCCCCTGAGGTTTTCAAATGCCTCGCGCTCTTTTTTTTTCTTTTGCATTGGTAATAACAATGTTAAAGAAAATAAATGAGCGTGAGGTATTTGAAAACCTTCGGCGGTTAGAAATAACAAAATGAAATCGTAAGCGATAGCGTTTTCCAAAGCAATCTGGTTAGGCGATTGGCCCACAGGGCTTGTTAACGGGTTAATATTTAAACCTAAATCAGTATCAAGTACATTAGGAGCGTTTTATTAAGGTTTGGCTCTACCTTAACCTTGAAAAACCCGGTATTTCTAAAAAGCGAAATTAAATATAATGCGATTCAAATAAGAATAGGAAAGCCAATGACCTCCATCTGTCAAATGACGCTTGAAAAGTACGGTTTGCAAAAAATCTTGGAACTCTTTTTTAGCACTCAGCTAATTCTAAAATAAAAAAAAAAACAAACATTTGTAAACAAACATGACGACGATATCAACCCCGGTAGTTATGCAGAGCTGAGCGGAATTGAAGAGCTAGATTCCGATTAATATTTTTACTCACACAGTCATAAATGTTATTAAAAATCGGTGTTTTTTTTTTCTCAATCTTAGTAAATAAATTTTATTAGTAAAATCTGATGTTTTTTCTCACTTAATCTTAGTAAATAAGTTTTATTTAAAAAAACTGATGTTTTTTTCTCACTTAATCTTAGTAAATAAGTTTTATCGAAGAAAAACTTTTATTGCTCACTCTACCTATTTTGTTTCAATTGACAGCTTTGACATCACAAAATGGCGCCCAGTCGATCCTATTCTTAGTTGAATCGCATTATAGGTTTTGAATGAATTTAGCGGTTTTTAAAAGGGTTTCATTGCGCTCTTACTGACGGCATCGCCTTCGCCGTTTCAATTCAAATTTATAATGATTTTATGTGAGTTTCGTTCCAACCACAGAGCGAATGAGTCAAGTAGTGTGTCAGTACACAACTACAAAATGAATAACTTGACTCACTAGACGCTAGCAAACGTGTAAATAAATGCATCAATCTCTGAGCATTAACAAGTTGTGACTTGATTAGTTGAAACTAAACAAACTTCAGGCGATGCCGACGCGTGCACGTGTCGCTCTGGATTAAACTGGTTTATTAAGGTACCGCTTTCATTTCGGACGCGCTCCGAACGAAACCTTAACTAAAAACCGGTATTAACCTTTATTTACCGGTATTTTCGAAACCGGTTACAAGCCCTGCTTCATATAATTTCCATGCATACCGAAAATATAATTAAAACACTTTTCTGTTTGGATATAACGGACGAGTTTAATTAAATACCTTGGGGACGAGGTTGGAGTACCATAATTTTGTGAATAAAGTGATTAAAGCGTGCACAATACGATTCAAACTTAATGGCGGTTATGGAGTAGCAAGCAGCAAGCGCAAATATGGTAATACATTTCAATTCAGTGAAATCCCGCGCGCATCTACATTTCTTTTGTAATGTTTTCTTCGTTTACTGGCCGCGACTTGCACTAAATTCTAACTTCACAGCCGCCATTAAATATGAATAGCACTATACTTCTTTCTCACTTAAGTGCAGTGATATGATTTATGTCGAAGAATCGAATGAGGTATTTCATAGAGATGTTGGATTCTGGATAAATAAAGGTGACTGTAGAGGAATGTATGGACTGGATGGACTACATTCCCACTGCCTAACCGCTCTTCAAGAGACCTCTAAACCCTCTTAGGAATTGCAATCAGGCAACATGGTTGGTTTTTATTTGCACTCAAGAAGAAGACTTTGAAGAGCAGTTGGAAGAAATGCAATCCATCTGTTTTAAGCTCAAGTCACGCTCAAACGCGACGGAGCCAGTGATGGAAGCGCGATGCCGTATAACAATGTCCATAGCTGGGCAAAGGTTAAACAAATAGTTAACTTCGTTAATCCATTACTAAAAAAATTAACTTCGTTAAACGTTAAAACGTTACACAAAAGATCAGACGCGCCGCGCCGCCATTACATGCCACTTGTCGTTGTTTGTCGGTCCGCAAGAACGTACTTGTCAGAACGCGTTTTTTGCGACACGGCGCGTTGCCTGCGGTATATTTTTGGTAAATAGTAGGTACTGGATTAACGAGTAACGGACTTAGGATAATTTAACGGAAGTTAACGAGTCCGTTAACATTTTTCAAAGTTAATTTAAAAGTTAATCCGTTAATAGGAATGTTAACTTCGTTAATTAACGATTAACGGATTAACGAGTTAATGTCCAGCTATGACAATGTCTCGCTCTAACAATCCAAAAAGAAAAACATAATGAATACGATTTATTCTGTTCCTGCTGTTTACAAACACTTATGAAAGTCTCATTACGACACCATCGGTTCGCAAATATAAGACACCCACGTCTTTGGATATATTAATAAAACACCCACGATCTCCAGAAGCGGAGATCGCCAGATTATTAAAGTACTCGCAATTTTGTGAATAAAGTGGTTTAACCTTGTACTTATCCACTATCAGTGCCGTCTTTGACCTATTGGAGGCCGGGCATATTAGGATAATAGGGCCCCTATGAACTAGGGACTTTGTATTTGATCTGAGGGGGGCCCCTATTGATCGCGGGGGCCTGGGCACTTGCCCAAAGTGTCCACTGAGAAAGACGGGTCTATCATAATCATAATCAAAATCATTTATTCAGTTTAGGCTCTTACAAGCACATATGAATGTCTAGAAGCTACGCCATCGGTTCGTAAATCTACGGCGGGAGACCTTGTACTGAGAAGAACCGGCAAGAAACTCAGCAAGGGCTGTTTTTTTCTCCCCGTTTTATTATTTACAGAGTCGTCAAATTGACAAATGACTTCAGAGGTGATTCATGAAGTCACTTTTCATTACATAATTATTAAATATACATTAATTGTATACCTGCATTTTGATTGCTGTGTCATACAGTATAAATACAATACATACCTTATTGCACTTGGTGCCGAAGACGACCTGCCTGTCGGAGAGCCACTGAGAGCAGAACACCTTGTTCATGTTGCCCAGGTTGACGGGCGTCTCGCGGAACATGTCGTGGGTCAACATGTGCCGCGTCGCGTACGACTGGTCCACGGAGCGGGGCTGGAGGACGAAGTAATGGGTCACTTGTGGATAGGGTAACCGACTTTTTTTTCTATCAAATATAGTATTTTCGAAGCTGTTACCTCTAAAAATATAGTAGATGGCAAAAAGATGGAAAAAATATAGTATGTCTAAAGTAAATATAACTAGAAAAAAAGTCGGTTTTACGGGCGAAGATTTTACGTGACAACGTCTTTTTCTCGGTAGAATATTTATTGATATGAATATAATTAAATTGCACAATAGGAACAAGGAATTGAATGAAAATAAGAATTGCACAAATTTTAACTATAGAAATATATTTTGTTTACTAAAACATTGTACATGTAAACTTAAACTCATCGTAACGTTACCGAGCGTTACACTTTTTCATAAGTGACTCCCAGCCGCAACCTAATTTAAGACGTTGTCACGTCAAAAAATCGAGTCCCGTCTGCTGCCTGGTCCGCGTGGATTTTTTTTTTATTTATATTTACTTTAGATTTAAACATCAAGCAGTTACATGCTTTAAAAATAATAAAATTTATAGTATGTGGTTAAAATATCTACTATTTTTGCTCTTTCATGCCTTAATATTTTTTTTTTCTTTCTAAGAACTATTTTATTGTCAAAAATCTGCTTTAAGCACAATAAAGTAGTTTCGCCTACTACATTTTTTTTTAGAAATCCCCTAATATAGTTAGGATAATATATTACATAAGTTGGCAACCCTATTGATGGACGACACATTAACCACTAGTATAGTGGACGCCATAAAGGTAAATATCTCTTATCTATTAGACAAGTCCGTCCGTCCGTCCGTCTGTGGTGCTGTTTCAGCGGCCAAACCGTAAGAGATAGAGAAAGAGAATATTTAAGTTATAAGTTAAGAATAGTCTGATAAGACTACAAACCGGATTTGAGTAACGTAGCACTTCCGGTTTTCGAGAAATCACGTGATTTCTATTTTGTAATTATCATAATTATAATTAACTATTTAAAAACTAAATTATTTCAAACGAAGCCACACAAAACCTCCTTCTCTCTCTTCTCAATTAATTAAATACATTTTTTAAATCAGGTTTTGGTTTCACATTTGGTTCGCTGGTTTGCTAGTACATAGATAATGAAGTGGGAAGTAAAATTGTTGCCCAGGTTGACGGGCGTCTCGCGGAACATGTCGTGTGTTAAGATGTGCCGCGTCGCGTAAGACTGGTACACGGAGCGGTGCGGGGCGGGGAGTCGATACAATAGTCACATATACATAGAATGGACTAGAAATTAAAACGTTGACGGGTTCTCGTGGAACATGTTGTGAATTAGCATGTGTCACGTCGCGTATGACTGGTCCACTGAGTGGGGCTAGTGGACCATACAATAGTCACCATATACATAGATAATGGACTGGAAAGTAAAACTGTTGGCCAGCTAGACGGGTTCTTGCGGAACATGTTGTGCGTCAGCTTGTGCCGCGTCGCGTACGACTGGTCCAAAGAGCAGGACTATTGGACTAAGTAATGGGTCACTTGGAGAACATACACAATACACACAGATAAAGATAAAGATAGCGAAGTGAACCGATTGCCTTGCGGGGAAAAGGGTGAGAACCCTTCTGACGAAAAGACGCTCAGTGGTTAGGCCCCCCAGCCAATGATCTAGTAAAAGTCGCCTATAAAATTCAAAAAATTCAATATTGTTTATTCAGTCTAGGTTGTTACAAGCACTTGTGAATGTCGAAAAGCTACGCCATCGGTTCGCAAATCTACGGCGGGAGACCTTGTACTGAGAAGAACCGGCAAGAAATTCAGCAAGGGCTGTTTTTTTCTCCCTGTATTATATATAGAGTCGTCAAATTGAAAAATGACTTCAATATGAGGTAACTCATAAAGTCACTTTCCATTACAAACAAAAAATGCAAATAATATAAAAATTATGACTATAAAATAAAAAATATATAAGAAACTGGTTTAACAAAGTTTAGGAATGCCGTGTCCTACTGTTTAGACAAAAAAAATAATAAATGAATGATTAAAGTTTAGTACAACGTTTAATAGTACCCAATGAAGCAAGAGCAGACTCATCTCCGCTGGCAGCACCCGTTCACGAGCATGACGCATGAACCAGCCATCGCTTCGCTCAACCATTTTTAGGGAACGCAACGACCCGCCTCACACGACACGACACACGTATAGGTGTGGAGGACGTTGGCGCAGGCCTATGCTTAGCAGAGGGTGTCGAACGGCTGATACGACGATAATGACACATACACAATGGACCGAGCGACACTCACGTGAACTTGGCAGAGATGTTAATTAGATGACAGTGTCGCTCGCGATGTATCGGATTTTATACAAATTGTATTTCCTAAACGCATTCTTAAATGTTATCTCATTTTAGGTTATTTTAGTTAAACGCATTCTTAAATTCCTATTGCATAATTACAGGAAAAATCCTAATAGTCTGAATAAAAAGAGATTAAAAGATTACACTAAGCGGTTTTATAAAATTGTCAAACTTACTCAAAAATCGCAAAACACTTATTATACTAATGATTCTAGAAACAAATCAAAAGCAACATGGCAAGTTATTAATAAAGCAAAAAGAAACTTACCTAAAGAGGAAATTAGACAAATAATAGTAGATGACAATGTAATTACTGATCCTAATGTTATTGCTGATAATTTTAATGACTTTTTTATCTATCACAAACTGACATCAGATAATATTAGCTTGGACAAAACTTTGACATATAATAGCAGCCATTCATTATTTATGACTCCGGTAATTCCTCATGATATATTTAATATTATAAAATCACTTCGAACTACGAATAGTACTGGTAATGACGACATTAATACAAATATTTTAAAATGCGTGAATGATATTATATCACCAATTATTGCACATATTGTAAATTTATGCATTGAGAACGGTATTTTCCCAGATAACTTAAAAGTAACAATAATAAAACCACTCTTCAAAAGAGGTGATAGAGATAACATGTCTAATTACAGACCTATAGCATTGGTATCTGTTTTGTCCAAGGTGTTTGAAAAAGTAATATATGAAAAACTATACTCATACTTTGAGAATAATAACTTGCTAGCTCAAGAACAGCAAGGATTTCGTAAGAATAAAAGTATTAATATGGCAATATCTGAATTTGTATATAAAATTATTTCTTGTATGGACTCGGGTAAGCAGGTTATGGGCTTGTACATGGATATGACAAAGACATTTGATTTGGTAGATTTTAATATACTATTTGACAAATTGTATAAATATGGTGTGCGGGGAAATATTCTTGAGCTTATAAAATCCTACCTTAGTGATAGACAGGTTATAACTCAAATCGACAGACTTTGCTATAAAACCAAATTTGAAAAGTCATATACATCTTCATCAAGGAAAACAGTTTGTGGTGTCCCACAGGGTAGCGTATTTGGACCATTATTTTTTAATGTATATATAAATGATTTTCCTAAATGCATACAAAGTCCAATGATCATGTTTGCAGATGATAGTACTATAATATTTGAATGTAAAAATGAAAATGATTATGAACTTTCAATAAATAATGACTTTGATAAAATTATGAAATGGATGCAAAATAATAAGTTAACTGTTAATTTGGACAAAACAAAATCGATGACGTTTAAACAAAGAGAAAGCAAGAAGATTATTGAAGTAAAAATAGAGCACTTGGGAAAAAAAGTAGAAGAAGTAAATACTACCAAATTTCTTGGAATATACATTGATAACAATATGACATGGGAAACTCATTGTAATTATGTATGTGAGAAGCTAAGTAAATTTTCTTATGCCTTGTATATGCTTAATAAAATAGCTGACCGTACTGCACTAATGACAGCTTATCATGGATACGTTGCGTCAATACTGAAATATGGCATAATTTTTTGGGGAAATTCTAGTAGTAAAGACAGAGTTTTCAAAGGACAAAAAAGATGTGTGAGAGCAATAAGTCGACTTCGCCCTACAGACTCTTGTTATCCTCTTTTTAAAGAATTAAATATTTTGACTGTACCTTGTTTATATATATTTGAAGTATGTGTCTTTGTTAAAACGAATCTAAAATTATTTTACAATATGTTTACATCTAAAAGACACAATGACAAGTTGTGTCAAAAACCTCATAAAACTGCTTTGTTTGGAAATAGTTTATATGGCGTTGCTCCGATAGTATATAACAAGCTACCACAAGATATAAGACAAATCGATAATGTGATAAAATATAAAGTGACCCTAAAAAAGTTTTTAGTAAATAAAGCTTATTATACACTAAAGGAATATTTAAGTGATGCTGAAATTTAAATTATTATTATGTCATTAACTTTATGAACAAGATTGATTATTATATTGTTTGACATTGAGATTATTATATTGTTTGACATTGAGATTATTATATTGTTTGACATTGAGATTATTATATTGTTGGACATTGAGATTACTATATTGTTTGACAATGATAATGTGAATTTGTTTATATTATGATCAATGAATGGAATAATTGTAATAAGTTTTTTTTTTTCTCGACATGTCAATTAATTTGCACACCCCATTGGGTAAGAATATAGGATGCTCTTTATCTCTGTATCACCATTTGTAACCATATTCTGCAAATAAAGATTATTATTATTATTATTATTATTAAATGTTATCTCAATTTTATAATGCGTTATCATATTTTTAGGTTAGGTTAAATTAGGTTAGATGTTAATTAGATGACAGTGTCGCTCGCGATTTATCGGATTTAATACAAATTGTGTTTCCTAAACGCATCCTAAAATGTTATATCATTTCAGGATGCGTTATCATATTGTTAGGTTAGGTTAGATGTTAATTAGATGACAGTGTTTATTTATTTATTTATTTATCATCAACAAGTTTCAACAGCGTTTTACACAATATAATCTAATATAAAATTTTAAACGGTACTTTAGCCAATTACAGAAACTCACTTTGTATTCAATTTAAAAATTAAAATGATAACGTAGGGTAGAAATTACAAATTAACAATAATATAAAAGAAATACCAACAAAGATTCAAATTAATTTTGCGATAAATATAAATACCTATATAAATCAGAATTATAAAAGGAGCATGGTAACTAACTTTGTGTAAATGAGTGTGTACGTAAGTGTTTGGTGCAGCGTGTGTGTGTGTGTATACATATGTGTAATTGCAGTCTTTGGCCTTAGATTTACACTTATTCAATAATAGCTTGTTTGTTATGGTCAAATGTTCATTTACATAAACAGCTGTTGGCTCACCATCCAGTCCAATATCCTCCGAAGTGATACCACCGGTTTTTCGAGCCGCGGATAAAAAGGCATCTTTTTTGCTGCGATTTTGAAAGCGAACAACTATATTTCGTGACTTTCCCTTCACTGGTCTCTTCGCCTGTACGCGGTGTACGAAATCCAAATCCTGGGACTCAAGTGGCACCTTCAGATGTTTGGCCATGATTATCATCATATCCGGCAGGTTTTCATTGTCCGCTTCTGGTATGCCTATTATTTCTAAGTTCTGAAGCCTAGACCACTGTTCTTGCTTGAGAGACGCCTCCTCCATGCTATTTATTTTGCCTTGTAGGATTTTAATTTGATTGTCAAGGTTAGTGTTCTCAGTCTGAGTTTTTTTCAGGATAGCTGAGTTATTCTCCACCTTGACTTTCACAGAATCATACAAATCACTGCATGTCTTAACTGACTTTTCAAGCTCTAAAAACCGGATCTCCAACGCATATGCAACTGATTCCTTAAGCTTTGTGATAAAATTTGGCAGCTCGCGCTTAAATGCAGTTTCAATTTCCGCTTTTATGATACCAATGATATCATCTGGCTTTTCCTCATCGTAACAACTACTGCTGTTGCTATTTGCAGATGTTTGTGCCCCTCTTTTAGAGTTGACAAATTCGTCACTTCCTGAAAAGGTTTCCTTTACTGGTGTGTTAGTGTTATCACCGCGACGAGTTTGTTTTACCTTGCATTCCGGACAAATCCAGTTTGTAGTTGAGTCACCCTTTTTAACACCGACACATGCTTGATGATATTGAAGTTTGCAAGTCGTTCTGGAGCAGTTAAGGATAGCATCTTTTGGTTTCACGTCACGATCGCAGGCACTGCACTTGGTCATTGTTAAGTTATTTTTGGTAATAAGTTGCAGATAAGAAAAAATATTAACTTAATGAGTACTTTGTGACCAAAACTTGGATTTTTATTGTAATTTAAAAAACTTTACCGAAACAATACTAGATAATAAATTTAAAACTAATTTATGTTGGAGCTAATGTTTGCCGTTCGACTACCCTCGTCGGTATATATTATATGTGTTGCTCGCGATTTATCGGATTTAATACAAATTGTGTTTCCTAAACGCATCCTAAAATGTTATCTCATTTTAGGATGTGATATCATATTGTTAGGTTAAGAGTATTGTGAAAGTCGAATACAAGATAAGATCGAGGCATTTGTCCATCAAAAGCAACAAAGTATGCATTTATATAATTAAAGTGCTGGATGAAAACAATCTCCTTTATGTATAAAATTTGAATATACAGGAATAAAGCTACATTTTTATGGATAATTAGCCAAAGACAAAATACTATAATTCGCATTTAAGTGATTCATTTAATATCTATAAAATAGAAATGAACGCAATGCCTGCCAACCTGTGAAAACAGTTTGGCCATAGATAAACTTAAATATTATAGTGGAAATAAATAAATTTATAAAAACATACTTTAGGTCATGTATTAAAAAGGAACTGGGGCCCAATCGCCTAACCAGATTGCTTTGGAAAACGCTATCGCTTACGATTTCATTTTGTTATCGTAGATGATTGAGGTTTTCAAATGCGTCGTGATCTTATTTTTTCTTTTGCTTTGTTAATAACAATATTAAAAACAATTAGCGTGAGGTATTTGAAAACCTTCGGTGGTCAGAAATAACGAAATGAAATCGTAAGCGATAGCGTTTTCCAAAGCAATCCCATTAGGCGAAAGGCCCACTGGTGTGTTAAGATTACTTTGTTTAATAACATATCCATGTAATTACAACAAAATGTTTAGCTTTCATTTACAGGATAATTTATTAAGTCAATTATGCTACTAACCAGAAAAAGAAAAACTAAAAAGAACAATTTCGGAGTTAATGATAATCCATATTTAGTAATTCTGACCTATGGCAAATTACTGACTCCTATAACTGCTATAATTAAATTAGCAGTTATAGGAGTCAGTAAAACAATATAGAAAATAAATGGCATACAAAAAATTTGCTTTAGAATATAGTTAGCATAGATATCTTTGTTAACTTACTTTGTGATTGATATATTTTTATTTCATGATTGTTGTAAGATTTTTTTCTATAAAACTATGTACTTTAGATTTACTTTGGTCACTCATTACCTCGGGCGCTTGTATTTCTCGGGACCTCACATAGTCTACAAAGTTGTACGAGGTGCACAGAGTCTGATGTTGCTGTGTGGGTGTCTCTTCTTCACTGTCACTGTCAGAGTAACAGACAAAGTCCTCTGGCTTGTCAGGTTTCCTCTGTTGTTCTAACCTGCAAGTATAACAGCAAGGAATCAATTCCAAAAGTCACATTTCGATAATCTAAACTTTTTCGGTTGAAAAGTGGTTGACAGCTGTGGGCTTGGAAAGTGTAGTGTTGTAGTCTCTTAATTTTGAATTTTGTTTTAAATATGGGAACCTGTTCTGAACTATAATTTTATTTAAATTTAAGGAAAGTTTACTACACAACATTCCACACGGTCCAGGCACCAGACCGGACTCGAACCCACACTCTTCGCTATCCTGGCAAATGCACCGACTATTAAGCTACTGTGGCCCTGATGGCTGTGTCGAATTTTCTCTAGTGTTTATTGAGCTATAAGGCGTCATCTCTTCGCATTGTAGGTAACCCACAATGTCAAATTTATACCTTTACAAGTATTAAACATTTGAAAGAGGAAATAGCCTGCTGCCTGGTCTGTGTGGAGATTTTCTAGTAAACTTTTCTTTATATTTAAACAAATAGCAGTAAAATGCTTAATAAATAACAATATAATGTTCCTGATATAAAAAATTGAGATAGTGCTCAAACTCAATTTTATTGAATAGTAATGAACTAAATAAAGAAACACATCTTGAAATTTATATTTTAGAAGACAGGTCACTCTGATATTAAGCGCTAATTGTGATTGTAATTAATATTTATTGCTTGAACAAATATATTAAATTATTATTACTCTATAACAAAGAAATAAACAGTAAATAAATAAATACTTTCAACACTCACACCAATTAGACTAGCCCCAAAGTAAGCACTGTAAGGCTTGTGTTATGGGATACTAGGGTAACGTATAGAATACATATACAGTACTTATATATTTATAAAGAAATACATATTAAACATCCATGACTGGAGTATAAATGTTCGCATTCATCACACAAACATCTGCTCCCACCGGGATTCGAACCCGGGACCTCTTGAGTCAGCGACACCATGAAATCCGTGCAAAACCGCTCGGCTACGGAGGTCAACACAACAATAAAAACATTTTTATTGTTCAGTTCTCTGTATGATGTAATAATGTCATAGGCACCTATCTGCATTAGCATTAATGTATTTGTCAATTAACATTTTAGGAGATGTTGCATTTTTACTGTTATTCTTCACTTAAGTACTTTTATTTATGTTTCTAAGACAGTACAATGAAACATAGATAGAAATTTGTACAGCATTTATGACACGAACTCTTAATTATAAAAATATATTCTAAATTATCTGTTTCGCCAATATCCCGTAGTGAGAGAAACACGATATGAGAGAGATTGCTCGGTATTTATACGAATAAAAAATTTATATTTTATCCGAATAACCCTTCTTCCTTGAGCTTTTATTATTGTTCTTCTGAAAGCATAACACACGCAAAGACAATTTCTGTGTTAAAAGGAAACAGCCACAGAAAAAAAAGTCTGTATAGGCACAAAGTAAAATTAAATGCCATGTATTTTTTACATTAACAGTAATTAGATCAGACTAATTGCACTATCAAAATAAGCATAATACTAAAACAACAGGTTTCTTGATTATTAACAAAAACAACACAAGAGGGAAAAACAATGTAACAAAAATATATAACAACAAATTATTATTGAAATATAATTTTATGCTAACACTAATGTTGATAACAGAAATCATTTGGGTCATGTTCAAACTTCTAAGTTGGTTATTATGTAGAAAATATGTATGAAGCTATTCCATTATTCAGTTATTAATTGTTAAACAGGTAATAAGTTTTTATTAATCATGGTTAATTAATAGCAGCTTTCTTTTGATAATGTCTGCACAAAAAAACATGTGAAATAAGACAACACAGGGAGTTAGTTGTACATGTTCATGGATCATTGACACCATTTTATGTAAACAGTAAGAAAACTACAAAAGTAACACGTGTTTCTATATAGCGACCTTGTGAACAATAATATATAATGAGCCTCTGTAATTATTTCTTACCTCAAAGCCCTTGCCTTAGCCCTGCGTTCTTTTATTCTGCTTGGTATGTAACAAGATGGATATCTACCTTCAATGGCGCGTCTCACTGTCTGCGCCATTTTAAGGCAATATTTATACGATTTATACGAGACTAATCACAATGTAATACACGGTCAACTAGTCACTTTCGTTTCGTTCTGTTGTAAGTGGATCCATAGTGGGACATCTTTCATTACATTAGTGGTGTCAGAACACACGCGCACTTCTTTCACCAAACCCATGAACTATCTACTTATGACATTAAATTTAAATAAATAAATTAACAACATCTAAATTACTTAGAATATTTCTTATAAAAATATTTGTTGAACTGAAATCAGAGAAAAACTACGCTGACGGAGTGAGTTGGTTGACTTGACGGAGCCACAGATTACTAAAGCTACAGTCACACGCGTATTTTCGTACCTATCGCTATCAACTTAAGGTTCAATTAAATTTTTTCGTACAGCTTTGTCCAATACCAACCTAAGAAAAACAAAAAATGCGTTCAAGACATAAACCCATAATATAAATTCTACTCTTTGCATAAACCTAGCAGTATTTATATTTAGATATTTTTCACTAATACTATTCAGACGACTACTTTGGCAAAGATAGGCAAAGGGTTCAAATTCATAATTTTGAAAAGATGCCAAAAAGATGTCATTGTATCTTTGTTGTCAAGAGGATGTCATAGGGGTTTAAAAGTTGTCAAAATGACATCAAAAGATGTCAAATGGCAACGATGCGAACGACGCATAGACTAGTTAAAATAGTTTTTGAACGACAGTGAAGGAGCAACAAGTGTGACATTTTTTATCGCTAGATGGCTGAACAAACAAAAGTTAATAAAACAGTCCGCCGGTTGAGAAGCGGACGCGGTAAAAATTCAAAAGTAATTTATTAACGCTACGTTAGCAGTATTTAATTTCTAATAACTTAACAAGACAATACTCGTATGCTAAAAATATGCTTCATGTTAAAATTATTTTTGAAGTTATACTTCTTTAGGCGCGTTATGAAAAAATGATGAGAGTGAAATTTTAAGATGCGCGCGCATCACTGTAACACAAAAATTAACAGCATGAAGTTGGTCGCTTAGCGTTTACCGCACATTAAGAAAATCTACCAACAAAATAGAAATAGAATCTCTATTTAGTGAGTGCTAACGACTGCATTGTGAAGGCCTATCAAAAGTATTTATTAATCCGGAACAACGGAACCAAAGCGCGAATCAGGAGACTACAGCGCCATCTCTTGACCATTGGTGTAGTAGAAACAAAAACCACATCTTTATTTTTTGTAATAAAGTAACAGATAAAGGTATTCATATTTATAATATCAAAAGTATTTATTAATCTGGAACAACGGAACCAAAGCGCGATTCAGGAGACTACAGCGCCATCTCTTGACCATTGGTGTAGTAGAACCAAAAGCCACATCTTTATTTTTTGTAATAAAGTAACAGATAAAGGTATTCATATTTATAATATTTATCCACATGTTTCTAGTTTGTATATTCGGAATACGTGTTTGAGTCACATATGTTCTAATAAATTATATTCAGTAGCGATTTAACTTGAATATTTTGATTATTTATTTATTTTTTCAAATTAAAACTGAACTTTATTGACTGCGTCCTTTTCCAGACTTTTTATTAATTTATTGTAATTAATTATTTGCATGCAATTAAAAACTAATTTTAAACGATGCCAAAGAAGGATAACTTCTCACGCGCCTAAATAAGTACACGCACCCATTTTTTATGAAGCTAAATCACTTCAAAATATGCTAAATTTAGCCATAAATACGCTAAATTGGCAGCACTGGGTGATACTGCTATACTGCATATTACTAAAGCGGGCTACTGACATCCTTGCCGCAGGGCCAATTTAGGGCGCACGGCGATCGGGGCAATATCGGCTTGTTTCTACACATATGCCTGTTATTCAGTATTCGGGTATAAGTTGAGCTAAACACACGCATTGATAATGGCCCCAGTAATATCAAAAAATCTAAAGATCGGCAGGTAGGGCCTTGGCTCTTCCTATGGTGTTAGCGTAAAAAAAAAATACTGGGTAAAGAATTGGCTACAGGAAGAAATGTTTTGTAAATAAATAATGTTTGTGTTTTTTTATCCCACATGTGGGACCGGCCTTATACCTATAGGGTTTTTCAACAAGAACTTTGTTTTCTAAAACAAAATAAAACAAAAAATTTAGATGAAGATGATTAAGTTAAGTTAAGATTAAGAAAAGTTCGGCAATTATGAATGAAAAATGATATCTGGCAAATGTCCACCACGTGCACGCTGACAGATGTCGATTCTTTCATCAAAGTTTGTAATCACTGTTTGGCAAAATGGCGGGACTATTTCGTTATTCACATCACGGATTTTGAGTTTTAAGGCTGCAATTGATTCGATTGGCCCCGTATAGACTCTGTCCTTAACATAACCTCACAAAAAATAATCTAATGGTGTTAAATGAAATTATGCGATTGGGAAATTTGGTTTGCAATAAATTGATCGTTTCATTGGCTGTGTGACATGTAGCGCCGTCCTGTTGAAACCACTTATCAGTGATATGACGTGGTGTCATCAATAATAGGTCAAAATTCGCCATGTGGTGGTTTTGGATAACCCCAATTATTGAAAACGTCGCGGAATTGACAAATTTGGATCTGCTTCAGTTGAACGACCCGGTCGAACACGCGTTGGAGTTGGCATATTTTGTATCGAGCCTGTCGACTTAAATTTAACGACCAAATTCTTAATAGCGGTCTCAGAAGAACGATTATGTTGTCCGAAAATATCAAGAATTTGACAAAATGTAACTGTAACAAAACTACTATTTTCATAGTGGATTTTAATTATTTTAATTCGATTTTCAAGGGAAATTGAATGAATTCAATTAACAATTGCGAATGCATCTCCTACGAATACGTCGAAAAACTAAATGTCCAAACTATCATATTGTTGGTGTAGCCACAATTGAAAAACAAAGTTCTTGTTGAACAACCCTGTACTTCTATCACTCGAGACCAAACTTCATGCTCATTATGATCTGCCGCCATTTTGATCAGAATACGTGCGCTCCATGTGACAGTTACCAACCAACTGATTGAGAAATTGCCCCGATCGAGCTACACACGCGACAACGTGCAGGGCGGCAGGGACAATCTAGGAACCAAGGGTGGTCTCGCACCCCTGTCGGCCTGCCGCAGGGTCAATTTAGAAAACTGGCAATTAAGGGTCATCCCCACTCTTGCACCCTAGATTGACCCTGCGGCAGGGATGTCAGTAGGCCGCTTAATACGGTAATGGGTAAATATACTAGGGTTAAGCGGTTGGATTTTCCACAAACTTCATTTCCTGATCGAAAATATTTACATTTTTCACATGACACAATACCTATGTGCAAAATAAGTGTGATATTTTATACTTTACAATATATTTATCTATAATATTTTGTTCATTACACATTACATTAAACTGTGAAATTGTGACAACAGAACAATGACAAACGTGGAATACAAACTGCGAAATGTTTAATATGCCCAAATAAATGAAAAGGATTTCCAATACAAAAAAAAAGACAGCAAAGGAAGAAGACTTCTTTTTCAATTCTTTCTTGATTTTCTTGATTCCATAGAATATGGATTTTGGAGTGATTATGGTACCAATTCTGGCGTGATTCTCTAAACTTAAAACTTAATTTAACATCAGTCTCTCCTTTTCATTCTGTATAGAGAATGACAAGGATATACTGCTGTCAAATTTAAGTTTTAGTTTAGAGAATCATGTTAGAATCGACACCAATGTCTGCATAATTCAGGAGAAAATAAAAACTGTAATTATTTGCTGCTTCTAGTTAGTAAAAAACAATTTTCTAATAGACATCTTCAAATTCTAATTGTTTTATAGATCTTTATTTGAAGGAGGTCAAGGGAGTTGGCTAATTCCCAAATTGCCTTATTTAATTGCCTGTATATATGTATGTATTCATCGACCTTCACCCTAAAAATAAAACTGCCAGTTTTATTACTCTTCTTTATGCTTTAGTTTCAAAGCCTGATTCTCTACGGTAAAGCCAATATTTATAATAACAAAAATCACATTCTTAAAAAACAAGGCCAAGGCAGAAGAGGCTGTGAAAGAAAAAAGTTGTTTAAATCTAAAGAAAAGTTTACTAGAAAAAAATCCACGCGGACCAGGCAGCAGACGGGACTCTAACCCGTACCCTTCGCTATCCGGGCGTATGTACTAACCATTATGCTACCGCGGCCCTGGCGTCGAATTTCCTCTAGACTTAGGCTGCAAGGCAGCGCCATCTCTACATAAATAATAACTGGTATCAGAAAGATTTTTGCACGTCGACAAAGACGGTTACGGTTGAGCATAAAGAAAATATAAAGTCTTTGAACAAAAAAACGACGGGTTGCACTCTGGGAGTGCCGGCAGAAGAGAAAACTTGAATATTAACCTTGTGCATTTTTGATGTATATTATCAGTATAAAAGTACTATCACGTATGTGGTAGAATACAATATTTATTTATTGCGCTATCGTACACAAACATGACAATTTATATTACATTATATAAGTAGGGATGTAGCTTCGCTCTGCATCTTCTATCGCATTTATCACGGGGAGTGTTCTGAGGAATTGTTCGGATTAATTCCAGCTGCTGCATTTCGCCATCGTACATCGCGACAAAAATTTCATCCCCATCATCTTGATGCGTGGCTATCCACAACCGTGCGTTTTTGTCGAAATTTTTTACCACGTACGACAAGACTGTGGAATATGTTGTCGCCAGCAGTGTTTCCGCACCAATACGACCCAAGAACCTTCAAAAAAAGAGCGTACTCCTTCCTTAAAGGCCGGCATAGCATTTGTGATACTCCTGGTGTTGCAAGTGTCCATGGGCGACGGTGATCACTTACCATCAGGTGAACTGTCTGCTCGTATGCCCCCTATAACATAAAAAAAAGAAGTTTATCGCTCAGAAAAATCAACTTACACGAATCACGTTTAAACGCACTTAGCGACATCTATTGTAAAGAAATCAACTTACATATATCACATTTAAGCGTACCTAGCGACATCTATTGTAAAAAAAATGCATTTTCTTCGCAATTAAGCTGCCAAGTGGACGTCCTAGATAGAGACTTATTATTATAATACCTACGATAAAATAAAATATTACTATGTTTCGTCCAATATATTGAAAGTCAACAGCCTTTCCAATTTTATTGTGTGTCATGATGCGATCAGCCCAC